AGAAAACTAGCAAATTAAATTTCAATATATCTATATCTGTAGTAAAGGAACCCATATATATTTTTAATAAGGAAGTTATTTGACAATATATTAAATAAACGAAAAATATAAGAAACAAATGAAAAAAACATTATCTAAATTAATATCAAAAAAACAAATGGCTAAAAATGATTTTGAAAAGAAATAAGAATAAGCTAGTTTCATATAGTCCTTTCAAGTGTAAACAGATCAGAAACAAATTTCTGAATTTGTCAAAATGATTAAATACAAATCAAGATTTAAAAAAATTACTTTTATTGCAGTGTTGTTACTAATATATCCATCCGTAAATTGTGTGCATATTAAAGAAATTATTCAACAAATAAGAGAAAATGAATTTGAAGTACATCAAACGGTATTAATGCATGACGATAATAAAAAAAGTCTTGATGTACTAAATGAAATTGTATTAGCAACATTCAGTACTAATCCAAGTCGTGTGATAAATTTTCTTCATCAGGATCGAGAAGAGCTATCATCAATATTATCGAAAAGTTTTTACAAAACAACACTTCTAATTGGAATTCTACAAGACGATGCAACAGCAATAGAAAAGTTTTTTCATTTTGTGCAAAATGTGACAGGCATACACGCTTATCCAAGATGTTTGATGATAATTTCAATGAGGGAAAAAAGTATCAGTCGTGAAGATATACTTCGATTAGCATGGTCAAGAAATTTTATTCATCTTACAATTCTCGATGTTGAAGAAATTAAAAATTCAATGTTTCAAGAGAGACGAACAAATTTAATAATCCATTACTTTAATAATTTTACTGGGAATTATACAAAAGTGAATTATAAAAAAGGTTTTGTAATTTTTCCACAAAAATTAAAAGATCTGAATGGTTTTAAAATGATGGGTTTCATCTATGATAAGAAATTTAACATTGAAAATAAAATCTCTTATGAAAGATCTAAAACTATTTCAAAAATCATGAACTTCACACTTGTGGAATTATTTCCTGCAGAATGCAATAAGAAAGATGAAAATGGTTTTAATTTTAAATGTTTTATGTTCATGAATGTCTGTCTTACCAATAACACCTGTAATCTAGTAATACCAGAACGTATGTCGGTAGGAGTCGATATGGGCAACAGTGTTTTCTTTTGTGATAAAGAAATTATAAAAACATTACTACCTAAATTAAAACGAGAAACCCTCTTGATTGCATATACCATTTACACAGTGATTTTAAGTTCTGTGTTACTACTTTTCCTTTGGTTGATTCTTCGATTCTTAAACTTTGATAAAAGCTTTTGGAAATTTTTGAATTTGTTTCAGCTATTATTGGGAATGTCAGTTGATCAAGACGTGAAGAAACTGTCGAATAGAATTGCGTTGATTTCAATTTGCTTTGGTTTTCTTTTATTTTCATCAACATTACATACAATTTTAACAACCATTGAATTCAACATAGTTTATGAAGACATATATGAAGCTGGCAATGAATTGTCATTTAAAATGCTAAACAAATCATTTGCATCGGATTTAATTGGAATAAAGGGTCCTTTATTATTGCAAAAAAGAACAAGTGACTATACTGAGATTAATGATTGTTTAAAAGATCTTTTGGATAATAAAGCAGTTGCTTGTCAGGTGAATCGTGAAATTGCTCGACAATTATTTTTAACAGATTTAAAGAATAATAAGATTTCCACTTTTACGATTGGCGATAAAACAATTGGTGAGAATATATTGGCATTGGATTTTGAAGCTAATTCTCCGTATATTTTTGAATTTGAACGTCATTTTAATAGAATTTTACAAGCTGGACTTAGTTACAAATGGAATAATGATTATATTACAACTATTAACATGAAAATGAAAAATCGATTTGAATTCTCTAATAAAGAAGATTCATTTCCCATTTCGCCATATATAATTCTTGCTGTCGGTCTTGGAATTGCATTTATTTTATTTATTGTGGAATTACTTTTTAAAATAATAGAAAGAAAAATATTAAAGTCTTTTAAGTTTTATTAATTTTTCCAAAGCAAAGAAAAAGTTTTGTAATAACAGATTTACAACTTTGATTTTGCAAAAAAAAACAGCACCGAAACTTTCCTAAAGATTTCCTAAAGATTTATTTGAAATATTCCTCCGAACATTTCAAATAAATCTTTTGGAAAGTTTTGGTGCTGTGAGGTAGCGTATTATTTTTTATTTTAATTTATTTAATATTAATTAAATAATAAAATTATTATTGATAAATAATTAATTATAAATTAATTAAAAAAAATAAAAAGACGTAATCCTAATGACACAAGATATCTTGGGATATATTGATAATATCCCGCAGATATACGTATATACGTAATTATACGTATAATTCTTGTTTCAAATTCGTATGTCTTATTATACGTATAATAATACGTATAATAATAGGTATTATTATACGTGGTTTTTTTCAATAGGGTACCCATTTCTATTATAATTTGACTGATGTTAAAAGTTTGCCATGTATTACTTTCGAATTTCAACAAAAATGCTATAAATCGTATAACTGCAATCGTACCAATTGTTATCAAAATCATGTACCACAATTCTGGTGAATGATCAATGTCTTCAGTGAATTTACCCCTCAGTGGAATAATAGCTTTAGCAGTATTAATTTGTAGTATTTTATTATTTCTTTTAGAGCTTAAATCGTTTTCGTAATAAAGTTTTCCTTTATCTATTAGCAAAAGTATCGGCGGTTCATCAATGCTATTATCACATTTGTTTCTTATACCATGCTCATTGTAATAGCCATAATCACTATTGAAATCTTCTTGAAATTTTTTGTACGAATGTTCTTTATAATTAAAATGCATTTTTTGTGCAAGAATATTAAAAAATTTCACTTTTTTCATATATAAGTCTACGGATGACTCATTAGGAAATAAATAAGGAAAAAATTTAATGTATATATATTTAGATCCAGCAATTTATTTGGAAACCATTTACTACACTGAAAAAAATAGTATTGAATCAAGAAAACCTATATGTACTTTACCAATATTTTCTTGATCCAAGAAAATTTACTTCAAACTAATAAAAATTTCTTGGATTTGACTGGAGCGAGGGGCTATTTACTGAGATCCAAAAGATCCAGGGACGACGTACTCCTTTTTTTTGTCAATTTTCATCTTTGGTCGTCCCAAGCCGTCTCTTGGATCTCGCATTGATTGCATTGTTTTGTTAATTCGACTATTGGCTTCTCGACTTCCTTCAAGACGTATAATTTACAAATGTCGTTTATTGTTTATATTTGTGTAAGGGTTAAATATTTTATTATTTATACTTAAACATAAACACAATTATATTAACTTTTAAAACAGTTAAATATTTAAATTATTAAAATTTTTTAGGGAAAAACAAAGTTAATTGCAAGATGGTTATTTAAATTAAATTTAATTAACATTAAATTCTTTATTTTTTAAGATTACTTCCGAGGTTATTTACATGAAATATTTTTTAATTCAAAATTGGCAAATGGTACAAAATGATTTAAGAGGCATACGATTCCTAAGTTTTTTATCATTTATTATTATTTATCTCTGTATTATATTGTAATAATTAATAATTATAATAAACAAATAATTTTTCAGTTTTATTATGTTCATTCAAAATTTCAAATAAATAGTTTAATTAACATAATTTATTGATAAAGTAAAAAATATACCAATAGTTTAAAATTTCCACATTAACTATAATTATATTAATTTCGAGTTAATTTATATTAGTAAAAAAAGTAAGTATTAAATAACATGGTAATTAAATAACTCATTTTATAATTAATACTTTAAAGTGAATTTAATGTAATAAACAATAAATTAAATAAATAATCAATTGAAATAAAATCAAGATCTCTTTTGATTTCTTGTCATCTAATTGTCACTGGATCTCTTGGATCTCAGTGAATAGCCCCTTGGACTGGAGTAATTATTGAAAAAACCATTCATATTACTTATAATAGATAATATTTCCAAACTTGATTTGAGCATTATTTGGGATTTATTATACGTTAATACTGTAATATCAAAAAAATTTAATTTCCAAAATAACATCAAACATCTGCTAATTGTCTCATTTGTAGGATTTGAGTTTATTAGTAAAAATCTTGGATGTGATGAACTTGACAATAAATCACCATTTCTAAAAGTTAAAAATTGATGCATGAAAATCACAATTAACCAATTCTATACTGTGGAAGCAATTATTTATTTATAATATCTTTTTTATGAAACAAGGCAATGTAAATAAAGTTGTCAATGTATAAAAATTAAAAAATTGATATATATTTATAGCTTAACGATATAATATAATTCAGAGGAAATTTATGATATATGATTCCATTTCCTCAATTTTAAGTATATATATATGAAATATTTTAATCAGAGAAATACTTGAGTAATATTAAATTTCGTTGTGTATTGAAAGTGAAATAATAAAATATGCCTTATTGAAGGGGTATAATAGAAATATATAATTTAAAAATGTTACTGCTTTTACGATTCGTTATTCCATTTCAACTAAGTATTTATTGCAATTATAAAATCTAACTAAAGTCTTTAAGCAAAGGTATATATGAGAGATACTCCTAGGTGTTGTGTCTATAAAAACTACAAGATAAATGAATTCTTCTCTATCTCCATCCACAGAATCTATAGACACTGTAAAGCAAACTATATTGATTAAATTTTTAATATAAAAAATTATAACCCTTTTTAACCTGTTATTATTATAATTACAGTCACTGTTCTCTATTCGAGTTGAAATCTTGAAATATGGCAATTATAATTAAATCTAAAAATTCAAATTATAGACATAGATAACTTTTCAAATTAAAAAACAAGAAACGACAATTATTTATAATTACAGCTTTCATTTTTAACAGATAATTGGAAACTCTTTAAATTCGTGTAAATATTTAAATACTCACGGTATTGATTCATATACAGAGTTAGGGTGTTTTTAGAGGAAGGATTATATATACTTTTTCAATATTTTGCATACACCGAAGACATGGACATAGTAAAGAAACCATACTACAATATTACAAGATATGTTATTATTTTCACCGGATTAAGTAGAAATTATCCTACGTGGTTTAATTTCTTGACAAAATTATTTATTTTTTTTGTTCTCTTCTCTTTTATGGGTGTTCAGGTAGTATTATTATATTTCTTTACAATTTATTTTTTAGTTAAATATCAACACTTATAAAATTAGATTGCAGGAATGATAAAATATTTAAGTAATATTGATTTGGTATTGGTGTGTATTCCACCAATATGCTATTCTTCAATGGGTACAATTCTTTATATAAATAATAATCTGCAAGTAAAACAAGTAATTATTAAGAAATAGTTATACTATTTCATGTCAATTGTATCACTTTTATAGGCCCAAAATTGAGCGCAACAGAATAATAGTCGATAAAAATTTTTAAAAGCCATAAATTATTTCTAAAAATTTTTTATATATATTTATGATCGTTGATTACAAATAAGAAGCATCAAATGTTAGATTTACAATTTTCAAAATGGCGGATTCAATATGGCGGATGATTTTTTAAAACATCGGTTAAATCATTAAGATTTCCTTGAAAATTGTTACTCGGGAGTTTTTGGGGTTGCTGATTACGAATTTGGAGTCAGATTTGAAAAATCCAAAATGGTGGATTCAATATGGCGACTAAAAATTTAAGAAATTTGTCAAATTCGTTTGTAACTTTTTACTCGGGGGTTTTTGGAGTCGCTGATATATAATTTTCATATAATTTGTAGGCTGAGAAATAATTTTTGGGTTTTTAAAATTTTTATCGACTTAAATGATTCTTTATTTTTGGGCATTTTATCTAATTGTATATAGGGCCGTCATTTTGAAATTTTTGAAAAGGCCATTTTGCCTTCTGTTACACAAAATTTTGGGCCTATATGGTTTTTAGGGTTTCGTGGCCCAGAACCGAAAGCCTTATAGTTTCGCTTTGGCGTCCGTCCGTCTGTCTGTCGTACACTCGTATGGTTTCCATGGCAACCGTTACTACGGCAACCATTTCCATAGTAACCATTACAATGGCAACCGTTTCCATAGCAACCGTTACCATGGCAACCGTTTCTTACAACCATTAGCATAGCAACTATAGCAATTCACAAATAATGTAATTATAAATTATTTATTATATACAAATAACTTTTGATCTGAATTTAAAAAGCCACGAAACCCTAATTTTTTAAATTTGACTTTGTGGTTAGACACTCAAATTTCGATATGCAAATATCTCTTTAACGCATGAAACTGTTGAATTATTTTTTTATTGTCGCTAAAATTATCTGTGAATAATAATTAAATAAATTACAACTTTTTCTTATAGATAAACGTTGTTTTCTGGAAAATGCAAAATGACTGGGATACAATAACATCAGAAAAAGAAGTTAATATTCTACACAAATATGCCAGAAAATCCAGAACTTATACTATATTATACACTTGTAGATATTTTTTTTTATTCAATATAATAATTTAAATATTAAAAATTATTCGAAAATTTAAACAAAAAATTTTTTTTCTAATTTTCTAGTAAAATATAACCGTTTTTATTTATAATAAACCATTTTCTTTTTTTATTATTTTTACTTTCAGTTGGATTCCTTGGAATGCTTATGCTCTATTATTCATCACATGGCATTCCAATGATTATTCACATTTTGAAAAAGAGCGATGGACCTAAACCGCTTCTTTTTCTTATTGAGTGTGGATTAGATTTACAAGAAAACTACGGTTGGGTAATATTTTATAGTTATTTAACTTGTTACGTTTGTACATATGGAATTGTAATTGGAGGTACAATTCTTGGAACGTTTCTTGAGCATGCTTGTGGAATATTTGAAATTATAGGGTAAACGTTAATTTTTAAAATTTTTTAAATTATTAAAATAATTTGTTAAACACTAAAAATTGTATTTAGATTACACTTTAGGTAAAAATTATCATTGTATATGAGCACTTTTATTCTGACATAAAATATGCTTGATTTGTTTTAAATTGGCATAATTTTTTTTTTTTGTTAATTATGTATTAATCATTTTTTGTATAATATAAATCAACAGAATTCGTCATTTAATCGTCAGTATTGATATTGATTGATTACAGGTATAAATTGACTATTGCCATAAATGAAAATCCATTTTCTAGTAATGTAGTGAATTCTCAAAAAAAGTTTCAGCAGGAAGTTAAACTTTGTGTAGAAATGCACAGAAGAGTTCTATTGTTTGTATAACACAAATTACCATTATTTATCAATTTTATCAATAAAAATACCTAAACTACTTCATGTATGTTTAATTAAAAATTTTACTTTTCGAGATTTATGGATGATATCCAAGCTGTATTTTCAACTCCCTATCTTTTTGTATTTGGATTAAGTGTAATTTTATTAAGCATCACTGGAGTGCAAGTAAATAATTTACATAAATAAAAAAAAAAATGTTTTTTGTATCTAAAAAAACAATTATACATATGAAGAATAAAATATTAGCCTAGGTTTTAATCTTATTTAATTGATTTAGTTTGTAATGAGTGAGAAATCTTCTGGGGATGGAATAAGGTATGGATGTTACGCAGTATTTCAAGTTGTTCATATTTTCCTCTTAACTCTACCAACTCAGAATTTACTGGATAACAGCTTTCTTCTTTCCAGTTCGATGTATAAACTATTTTTTTACTTTTAATATTTCTTTGAATTTAAAAAAAAAAATTGGAAACACATTTACCTTCATAACTAATATTAATTTTGCAATAAGATTTGTCATTCTGTATTCGAAATATTTGGATAAATTTGATGAGAAATTTAATTTTCGCATTAATGAAATTCTATTATTTTTACGTTTTATAATTATAATATATTGAATTGATATTTTCGAAATCATGCTGTGTTTTTGGTTAGAACGTTTACAAATAATAGTATCACTAATTTTCACTGAACAATTAGATTAACATTTTATTGTCAAAAAATGTTATTACACTTTGATGAATTTGGATTTAATTAAATCAAGTTTGGTTTCGCCAAAACGATAAAGATGCGTTGCACTCAAATGAACTAAGAAAAAGTATAATATAGAGAGAACTCCCACGTCCTCTAATAAAACTGGCTCTGCGCAACTCTGTTCTCAGATGGCGCCACTAAACGCCTGCGTAAACTAATAGAATTAATACTTTAGCCTCTAAAAAAAACTCTAATGTTGATAATACTAATTAATAATGATAAAATTTGTTTTTAATTATTATTAATTAACTAAACGTAAAAATAATACGACTTTTATGAATTTTGTATTTCTTTTTGAATGACAATTAAATTCTTCATCAATTTATATCAATTTATCATAATATTTCGGAATCCCATACAACACCAAATTTACAGGTACTTACGGCACAATTAATGTTATAGTTATTAATTATTTACTGCTTTACATTAATTACACGAAATGATGCCATTGTCCCCACTTGCCATTTGTCATAATTCTCGGACAACTACCGCACCCTGCTCTAGTGAAAATTTAGTGACTTTATATAGTACCTTTTAATTTTAACTAAAAAATCACTAAATTTTCACTGGAGCAGAGTGCGGTAGTTGACGAGAATTATGACAAATGGCTAGTTGGAACAATGGCATCCCTCCACATTTCTCATATAAATTGACTATATTCTAACCTTCATTTATATTTTTTAAAGACACGAATAGTTAATCGAAAGTAAACTGTTAATTTATATCCAATTCGCCAGCGAGAAGGAACATAAAACTAATTATTGTTTTTACTGTAGATACAATGCAGATTGGTATCATCTGTCAAGTGAATCAACAAAATTATTACTGATTATAATGAGAAAAGGATCTGAACCTACTACATTTATCGTTGGCAAAATATTCATACTTTCATTACAATTTTTTAGAAGGGTAAAAAAATTTTTAAAATTAAATTGCAAAAATAAAGGCTGCTTTTCGTATAATCTAAAAGAGGAAAAGAAAAACTGAATGTGCGACGAATTCATCGCACATTCATGGAGCATTTACACCTTCGGCAAAAAATTTTCTTCACTTTGCATTTTCCGAAATACATTTACCTGATTGGTTGTCCAGAATCTAATTCATTGTCGACAACCAATCAGGTAAGTGTATTTCGGAAAATGCAAAGTGAAGAAAATTTTTTGCCGAAGGTGTAAATGCTCCATCATATATAGTGAATGGAAATAATGTGAAAAATGAATGAAAAATTGTTGATTTTTTGGAAATTTTTACTCTTTATATTTAAAATTGTTTTTTTATTTTTTTTCTGTACTTTTTGAGTTTTTTAAAAAACGAATTTTTGCACAAATGAGCACTATTGGGCACAATATTTGTTTATTGAAAATTTTTATTTTACTGATCTATAAATTTCTGAACATAATTTTCTCACAAAAAAAAAATTTCAAATTTAATTTAAAAATTATTCTTTTGGCCTTTGGATTAAGTTAAGGCGCACTCACACCTTTTTGGCTGCCTGCAGGTTACCATGGCAACGCATGAGAGCGAGTACGACAGAAAATTTAAAAATTTGAATATTCAAATTTTCTGTCTCACTCACACTTGTGCGTTGCCATGGTAACCTGCAGGCAGACAGGCAGCCAAAAAGGTGTGAGTGCGCCATTAGAAAGCACTGTAGGGCAAGTTCACCAATTACGGCGCGTTCGTAAAAATAGAAATTATTACTATTATATTTAATATAACTGTTGCAAAATGATTAAAAAAAATTATTTTAATATCTTTTTAATACAATTGCAAATAAAGATGCACCTTTAAACAATTATTAATTTAATTGTTTGAGATCAAAAATTCTTTCCCTCGCCGTAATTGAAACATTTTTAAAATTCCCATTGGCTCCAATTACAGTGGGCAAAGTATCTTCAAAATACACGTAATTTTGGTCAACGTAATTAATACACCGAAACTGATGCCAACGCGCCGTATAATAGAAAATTACGATATATTAGTTTTAATTTCTCATATTTGTTTAAATAATCGATTTTTTATAAAGTTTAAATTTTTTCTTAGTATCTAAATATAACATAAGATTTTAGTTTAATAAGTCTTAAATTAACTTTATACAATAGAAATGTCGAATTTTCTATTTCAAATGTGTTTTGACTTGAATCACGCCGTAATTAGTACATTTACCTATTTATTCAATTCAACAGTAATTTTCTTTAATTTTCATTTATTTTTCACATTATTTCCAGTTACTATGAATGTGCGACGAATCCGTCGCACAATCAAAGATTGCGATTCGCCAGAGTTAAGAATTTAATAACAGTTTATAGAAATAAGTTAAAATTGATTAAAAAAAAATAGCTAATAATTTGTATTTGTATCTCGATAAAATTCAAAAATATCAGTACTAATTTTACAAGATGATAAAAATTACTAATTATATGCGGTTTGATTAGAATTATTTTAAATTATTATAAAATTGTTCAAAGGTTATTCAAACATCAATGTCATATTTCACTGTTTTGAATTCTGTACGAGGATGAAATGAAATGTCTTCTACTGAATTTTACACCTATGGATATTTGAGTAGTTCTTAAATCTTTGATAGTAAACAAAATATTTAGAGCGCCTTACATTGTAAAGAATTATGTAAAATAAAAATAACAGTATATTGAAATTGTTTATTATTAATTATTAGCTTTTTTTAAAAATCTTTAAATTTTAATAAAGAATTAAGACAAACTTCCTCGTATAAAGATTTATGGGCAAATCCACAGAACCGGCCGATTTTTACTTATCAAGATGAAAATTTTCCAAATAGCAAGCACACCTTTTATTTATGGTTTACTTTCTTTAAAATATATTCAAGAACAATTATCTTCTTGCGTGATTCATTTTATTTTAATGCCGTTTGAGTTAAAAGCCAAAAACGAAAATATTATTTTTCTTCTGGAAATTATAATTATAAATGGCATTTCTTTGTTTTTTTTAATATATTATTTGAAATATGTGCAAAACATTTTGAATAATAAAATATGATAAAATACAAATAATTAATTTTTTAATTATCAAAAATAAATTATTTATATTTTATCATATTTTATTATATATTTTATTTATTAGCATTTAATTTTTTATTTCTGTAAATTAAATTGTTTACTTACTAATTTTGATATTAACTATTGTAACCAACAAACTGACATTATTGACATCGATTTTGATATAACTTTGAAAATAAAACAAATGAAAGGATAATTCATTTTTCACGATTAACTAGTTAAATTTCGATAAATTTTTTTTTATTTTTAATTTTTAGACGTTATAAATTGAAAATATAATTTGGCGTTTGCATACAAGAATTATAATAATGTCTTTATATAATCACACATGTTTTCAACTCATCATATTTTATCCTGTAGTTGTGCTACTGAAAAAAGGCTAAGTTGAAAATGGTTCACGCTTAAACATAGAGTGATAATTATTGGAATATTTTCTTTAATTCTGATTGCACTCTATTCTATGATACATACATTTGTTCGTCTGTTCACAAGCAATAAGCTCCAATTTGAAAAATTCAAATCGAATAATCGCCGCAAAAGATATTTACAAAAATGTATAGACATTTCATTATTATAAAATAATGAGTAACGCTACTTTCAACGACTATCATTTCTTTTTATTTAAGAGCACATATTTTTTATTACTTTCAAAACATTCTTCAATAAGTAAACTATAATTCACCACAGTTTGGAATTGTTCGGATCTATGCCGAACAAGTTATACCTATAAGAATTAAAATTTATACCTGGAGTAACACCGTAAATTTCATTTTTTAAGTTACTTAATTCGATTTTATTTTTTATAAAAGACTAGAAGGTTCACATTTATTCAATTTTCTTATTTCAATAGGTTCTCAGAGATATTACAAAATGGTTGAAGTATGAAAATAATTAATATAATACTTCTAAAATAGAAAAATATGTGAGTAACATGAAATCGACCGGTTCTGTGGATTTGCCCTTATATCTGATTATTTACAGATAAATTAGATTACAGAAAGCATGAATAGATTTTAGTTTTAATGATTAAAATTTTTTAAACCTTTTCTTTATTCACTCAAAAAATTTTTTAAATCTTCTCAGCCTGATTAGAATCGTTTTTAATTTGAAAAATACTTTAAAATGACAAAAATTTTTTTTTTGAGAACTAATTTTCATTCATAAAACAAAAGTCTTATAAAACTTAAAATTCAATTATTGATATATATACTTTGAAAATGAAAAATACATCATGATTAAATTCAATTTACTATTTAATTTAAATGAAAAAACAAAATTGAGTATTTTTCTTTACTTTATACTCGTAAATTAATAAATACGAATACTAATTGTTTTTTTATTCAATTTATCCAGGCGTAGAGAGAAAGATTTCAAAGAATAAATTTAACCTGTGCATGCGGGGAGTAAAATGTATTAAGTAATTCGAATAAAAAGCCTCAGTCTTACTTCTTCTTCTTCTTCTTCTTCTTTTTTTTGTGCTTATCTCACGAAATCTAAATTAAATATAAGGTCTTTAAAAAATTCATTTTATCCTTTTGAAATTAACAGGCTGTTTCAAAAAGAATGAAAAAAAAAGAAAGAAAGAAAGAGAGTGAGAGAGGGTGTGCAAAGAATTGTGTAGGTGTGCTATTTCAGGAATCAGTAGAATCACTCGATTCTCATTGAAAATGGGCGACTCGATGTCGCGATTGTAATTAAGACAAATCGGTGAGGATGTCGAGATTGCACATGGGGAGTTGTACCTCGATTTTGTCGCCGCGTCTTTTGCGTCTTTACGCCCTCGCCAATCACTCCAGCTGCCTTTTCATCCCTCTCTTCTTTTTCAACCCTATATACTGACAATTCACTCCCCTCACTCTTTTTTCTTCTCACCACTACTTTTTCTCTTGGAAAAGTCCAGAAAATACAACGACAGAAGATTTTCCCCAACACCATTATTTATTCAATCACATCCATGGGACTATAAAACCCAAAGATTCCCTCGAGCTAAACATCATTCCACTGACTAAGCTCGAATTGAATGTAAAAATGTCCGATCGTCTTTTAATCGCGTTTGTGAGTGTGCTCGTATTTTTCATCGCTTGTGTTTCCGGCGATTACGGTATGTGTTTTATTACAATTGTGAAAATTATTATTATTATTATGATTATTTTGTTTTTCGGTGATTTTACTTTTTATATTTCAAAATGTTCGTTATCAATTGAAAGGGTGATATGATTTTAACTCCTAAATGGGACTCATTAAAAATCTCACCCTTTGTGGAGTTTTCTAAGGGAGTTAATTATTTATAATTAAATTATCAATTTTTTATTTCCATGTGGGAATTTAAATTGCCAAAAAAGAAAATTAATGTCAACCAAAGTTGAGGGTGAAAATTTTGGAAAACTAAAACTCCCAAAGTGAGTTGTTTTAGATTAAATTAGCACACTAGGCATAAAATTAACTCCCTATAGTATCAATTTCAAAAGGATATTGTATAGAAAAAAGATTTCTTTGATTCAAAGAAATTGATTTCTTTGAACAAATTTTCATTTGATACACAAGATTTATTTGATTCAAACAAATTATCTTTGATTCAAAGAAATTTTTTTTGGAACTGAAAAGCTAAAAAAGAAAATTTTATTTTAAAGAAAAGAAAAATATGTCAAAGAAATTAGTTTCTTTAAATCAAAGAAATCTTTTCTCTGCGTATAGAATTTTAATTAGAGTCCCGTTGGGGAGTTAAAAAATCTAAATCCTTTTTTTTTTAGTAAAAAATATTTTTCTACATTGTCTTTTTTTTATAGATTTTTCTTAATTAATACATTGTAATATGGTAATGTTTTTTTAAATTATTTTTTTAATTTATTTAAACAATTTATTTTTTTTATAATTTTAGATTTAACTAATTTTTTTCTAATAGCTGATAATATTCTTTAAAATAATGATAGAAAAAAAATGTGGAAAAAAGTTGTTCTCCGTTTTGCATAAAATTTATTTAAATAATTTTAATATAAGAAACTTTTCATTAACTTCATCAAGAATTATATATAGGGTTAATGCACTAATTACGGCGCGATTCGAGTCAAAACACATTTGAAATAGAAAATTCGACATTTCTATTGAATAAAGTTAATTTAAAACTTATTAAACTAAAAGCTTATGTTATTTAGATATTAAGAAAAAATTTAAACTTCATAAAAAATCAATTATTTAAACGAATATGCGAATGTATCAATTACGGTGACCAAAATTACGTGTATTTTGATGATGCTTTGCCCACCGTAATTGGATCCAATGTGGAAATCTTAAAAATGTTTCAATTACGGCGAGGGAAAAAATTTGATCTCAAATAATTGAATTAATAATTGTTTAAATGTGCATCTTTATTAGTAATTATATCAAAAAGAGATAAAAATAATTTTTTTAAATCATTTTACAACAGTTATATTGTGACGTTGTGAAATTTACAATTTTACAAATCACAAAGGTTTATTTATTTTTTAATATATTAAATCACTTTGTTTATTATTCCCGAAAAAGATATTTCAATATCAAAAAAATTTACTAGACGAAATCACATTATATGGATTCGAGAAATGGAAAAATCTTATTTAATAATATAATTTAATATTAAGAATTAATGTCTGTAATTTTCTTTTTATTTATGTACTTTCGAGCCAATGTTCAACTGAAACAAGAAATTAAGAAAAATATCAATATTTAAGAAAAACTTTGAGAAAAATTGATTATATTGAATATTTTGTATTTGTCAACCTAACCCCAATTTTGATGTCATCAATAATTGGATATTTTTGAAGTTTATTATCGATTATTTGGATATATTTTTATTATTAAAATTTGGATTCTTGAATATTCACTTCCTATGTACCCATTATAATTGGATAATTAAGAGATGCCAAGTATTTTCACGTTTTATGCAAATATCACCCTGAGAATAGCATTGACTTCGTTTCCTGGCGAAATACTGCGGTTAGCCAAAGCCCATATAAAATATTTGATGTTATGGATTTATCTCAATTTGAAGTTTGAAGATTTTTACTTGAGTGTGGCATTATCTTTGTAAATTTCAATATTAATTCCGAATTTATTAATATTTATATTGGAGAAGAATTAAGGATTTACCATCTTGCGTCGGATTAACGTATTAAAATCGTTAATCAAGAAAAAGTATTATTATTATTATTCAAGAAAACAATTTTTGTCAACAACATTTATTATCAAATTTGAATTTCGCACTTGATCAGTTTGGACCAATCAGCGTCAAGATATAGATAAAAAACCTTTTTACCGACCGTCGAACTTTCTTTTTTTGTCCCGATCTTTTTATTTCTTTTATGATATTCATTTTTTTTTTGGTTGGTAACGAAAATCTCCTAGGAGAAAACAAACAACGTCTTTTTTTATCATTCTTTAATGTGATTTCGTATAAGCTAGACGCTTTTATTATATTCTTTCGTCACTTTTATTTTGGAAATCTCAATTAATATAAAATACGTTTTAATCATTTATTATAAAGGAAAAATAAAGGAAACATCAAAAATAAGAAAATATATCTATAAATCGAAAAAGAGGAATTGTTTGAATTTATCATTTTGGAGATATTCGTTGCCGTCAGCCATTTTGAACACATTGATTTTTGTAATTCTCTGGTTAAAATTTTATTTCTCATTTATGAATAATATCTCAAAATTACATATTTGTTTGAATTTTTCAATAATGAATTTTCTTTAAATCTGAATTTAATGTAATTTAGAATTTCAATTTAATTTAATTTAAAATGATTTCTTTTGAATTTAATTGATTTTGGAATTATTTAAGAATGAATTTAATTCTCTAAATTTAATTTATAATTTTTATTTAAAAATTGATTGAAATGTCATTCATTTAATTTTATAATTATTGTATCTATTTTCATTTTCCATCTTTTTCCATTTCTCGAATTAAAGAATCCTTATTCTTTTAAAAAGAAAGAATAAGAAATTATTTTTCTTGCATTATATCGAGTCTTGACTAAAATTTTTATAATGTTTAAAAATTTAAATAAAGAAATTTATTAACCTTTTGTTTATAAAATCTGATGTTTTATTTAATTTAAAAATTAAATCTTTTCGAATATATGGCTTTTCCGAACCGCCCTCTCTACTGTTAACCGAGAATTGGGACTGCGGCAGGCCGAGTAACAGGACGACTATTTTAATTTAATTTGAATCATTTTCTTTGCTTTGAGTTTCCCTTGATTATTGAATTTGACAGTCTTTGAGTAAAAGCCTGGTGGCCGTGTGTACTCTTCAGACTAATTTGACAATCAAAAATAATTTTGATTTAATTGTCGAATTTGACAGTCTCTAAAATAGTTTGCCTAGTAGCCTTATGTATTTTTCCAGACTAATTCAACGATTAAAGAAAAATTTATTTAATCTATTCAATCAATTTAATTCTCGTCCCTTAATTATTTATTTATATTTTTGTCCCAAGAAAGGACTGCGCCCAACAAACAATTTATTCGAGTCTTCCCTTTGTAACTTTGATTTTTTTCAACATTCAGCATCATCATTAAAAATCATTGGTTACAATATTAAATATAATAGTAATAATAGTTATTTTTTATGAACGCGCCGTAATTGATGCACTCGCCGTAATTGTTGCACTTACCCTATATTGGTAAAAAAAAATTCATTACAAAAATATTAAATTTTTTTAAATTATTTAAATTAGAAACAAGAGGAAGTGATTCTCTAAGTGAAAGCGTCGGCGAAAGAACACCACAAGAAAGAAGCGACTGTGTAACTCACAATTGTATGAAAAGGACCATCAATAGTGCACCAGGGGCAATGTGGTTTGGGCCCAGATTAGGCAGACGGCGAAGATCTGGTCAAAAAGCTTTGAACTTTAGACAAATTGAAGCTGTTTCAGGTGTGTTATGCAATAATTGTGACGACTTTTGTACAGTGTAACACTGTACGTATACGAATTTTGGTAATAGTAAACTACTTTATCGACTCTTTATAATTAGCAGTTGAAAATTTCTATTTTTTAAAAAAAAGAAATAAAACACATTATATTAACATTAATTTAATAGACCTTTTCATGCTGTCCTTATCTAGCGCATACAATGACGAATGAGTTGGAAGAGGACAGAATGATCAGCATGAAAAGGTCTATCGGTTTTATTTTCCAAATATAGAAATTTTCAACTGATAAATATCGTCAGTCGGTAAAGAAGATTATATTTACCGACAGTAGAGTGTTGCACTGACAGTAAAAAGAAAATTAACTTTTTATTACTTTCTTCTTTATTTTATCACAATATATAATATCTTTTTTTTTCTATATTTGATAGAGGACAAAGAGACTGCAAAATTTACTCCTCGATTAGGACGAGAATTGGCTGAAGAAATTTTGTTTGGCGATTTTGAGGATTTCCCTGAACAAATTGATAGACAAGATTTTTATGATGAAATCCGGCCAAAACCAATGTGGATCTTTCGTAAAGGAAGAGAAAATCCAGTTCCTTTTTTGCCAATACCAAGGCTTGGTTGAAAAATGCAACAATTGTTGGAAAAAATCTAGAATATTTATTGTATTTGAGATTTAAGACTTTAATGCAAAATACTTTTTGTCTTTTAGAGCTTTGGACTGCGATCTTTTTAGTATATGCCATTTCTTTTACAATATGCATTTATAAGTTGTGAGAATATTATGCGTTCACCGTAAAAAAAAATTACTTATACTTATACTTTCCGTTACTTATTCGTTGAAAAAATGAATTCAGATATTTGAAATTTGAAAAATCATTTCTTATTGAAAGAAATAGAGATTACGAAATTTTCTTTAATCCACTGTTTTTAAGCAGGAACAACAATATTCTATTATTTGAATATGTAACAAAGTTATATTTATTAATTGAATTATTAAATTATGTAAAATTTTTAGATAATAAATTAAAAAACAAAAAGGTCTGTATCAATTTTTATTTTGCTTATAATACCACATACAGAATTTAAATTTCTATATGTAGAAATTATGTACTAGATCCCACACAGCATATTATATTTCCTAAACATTTCATGAATATTTCATTGAAAGATTTGAAATATTTCAATGCAAGGTTCATGAAATGTTTATGAAAATAGGAAAATGTCTGCCTATAAGAAATATTGCCGTACAATTTTGCTGAAATATTACACTTTAAGACTCCTGCAATATTACACATGAAGATTCTGCAATATTCAGGAAATATTTCAAAGAAAGTTAGAAACTTTTTTAAAATATGTAATCAATCGTTATTTTCTTATCTTTATTTTCTTAGGATCCTAGAAAATTAAAAACTACTGCGCAGCTGTACAGGCCATAGAAACTGAGATCGACCAGTGCGCATCATTTAAATTGGAATTTTTCTATAAATATTTTAATGAAATATTTCAGCAAAATTACACGGCAATATTTCTTATAGGCGGACATTTCCCTAATTTCAGCATAATATTTCAAGGACTTCGCATTGGAATATTTCAAAATTTCAATGAAATATTTCAGAAACATTTAGGAAATCTCATGTACTGTGTGGGGAATTAATTACTGTTATGTCTATTAATTAGATCTAGATATATTCTTAGATAAATTAAGTGTACATTATTGCATATATATATATTAATAAAAACATCTTTGGAAATACAAGAAACAAGAATTAAATCATCATGTAATTACAATTTTAAAGTTTCTAAATTATTCTTCACATATAATTTATTTGAATTTTTATATCCCATATTAAATTAATTTTTAAAAATAATTATTAGGCTAACTTAAAAATTAATCTTTATATTAATAGAATATTCTTTTCATCTATGATTGAATATTATGGAAATTGATTTATAATTAACAAATTAATTTACTTGCACATTTATATATAATTTTTTGTCGAGATAATAATTAATCTATTTCTCTTATTTCTAATTTGTAGTTTATAAATTAGGATTGGTCCACAAATCACATTTTTCTTTTGGATTCATAAATTGACCTTTTTCACATTGAAATGCTTCTGCAAATTCATGACTATTCATTATGGTTCCAATGGTTCTAATATCATATGGCGCATGAATTGAATCCAAAAATTCTTCATTACGATTTTCACAATATTGCTGGCAAAATAGTTCAAATTAATACTTTATTATAATATTATCTTATATTCATTTATAACTTCATACTTATTGTTTATATGATAACTATGAAAGTTATTATGAATGTGGTTTTATTATTTGGCATGTAGAAAACATTTTATTTGAGGGAATCAAAAATTTGGGTTATTCGTCTAAAATAAGGTCGTATTTGAATTCAGTGTATTAATTCTAGAAAATTATTTGACTCGAATTATACAAATAATGCTCAATTCAACCTAATTTTAGAGTTGAACGTAATAACAACCGGAAATAGTTAATTGATTCCATTAAACTGTTTTTTGGATGTATGTTTATAATATTTACATTTGCAAAAGATAAAAAGAACAATTGATTTGCATCAAATTCTTGAAATTGTGGTAGCACTTTATTTCTTTCATCTGGATTTTCATGGAACAATCGTCTCATAGCTCTAAATGCCAATTTTAATCCTTGTGTATCAGCAACATTTTCATCTAAAGTTGTCACACCGTCTATCTAAATATAGAAAATGAAACAAAAATTTTTTACTTATTTTATTTAAATAGATGGAAATTCATACAGAATTTAATAAGATAATTATAATAATTGAATAATTACATTAAGATTATTAAATTGTCTCTCTAAACAATATTTTTTGGCTGAATATATAGAATTAATCTCATTATTAATTGAAAATAAAGCTGTAAATAAATAAATAATTTATTTTTGAAAATATATCAAAAAACATTCGCACTGATGAAAGCCCACATCGAGGATGAAATATTTTCAACATAATCTAAAGCTGCATTGGTTTATTTAGCTGTTAATTATTATATTAATACTTACATCCTGTATGAAGTTTCATATTTTCGAAATCAAACGTATGAGAGATTTCATGACCGATTATAAATGCCAATCTTCCAAAATTATAGGCCCTAATATATAAAAATATAAAATTATATATATTTTTTAACTTTCATTTTATAAATATTATAAAACAACTAACATTGGTGCCTCTGGATGGAAGAACGGTGGTAGTAGTAATCCTGGCGTTATTTCTGAAATAAGGAAAAAAAAAAATATATATATATTTTTTTTTTTTTGAAAAAAAGAAATTGGAATCGAATATATTCTGGATCAAAATAATAATAGATATTATTGATAATTGTTAGTTTTACATTTACATATATACATATATACCTATTGATTTTGTAAGTCGATTGAAAGATGCTTCAATTTCAATATTTCTTTTTTTTCTGTTATTCGTTGAAGCATTTAATGCACTAACAAGATCATATAATGACATTAATGCATATTGAAAACTGATGAGCATTCTGTACTCAGCTTTAGCTTTTTTAAAATTCAAAAAATTTTTGAATGCAACTAGAGTGATTTTGAACTGTAAAAATATCAAGAATAAATAAGTGTTTTGTCTATATATATATAATTATGATATTTCTATGTTCAACTAATTGTAAATATAATTCCCAGTGATCACAAAACGTTCTACGTTCCAATAATGCGTTGTTATATAACGTTTTTAGAAAATTGAACCAACGGATCGTAGAAGGGCATATACGTAATGTATTTATTTTGTAATGCCTTTATTGCCTTCTACGATCCGTCGGTTCAATTCATGTCTGCTCAAATAATGCTTTGAAAATGTTTCATGTTTCGCTAAACATTTTCAGAAAATTAAACATCCTTAAAGTGTTATTTTAAAAGAAATGTACGTTCTTAAAAACGATTTAGAAACGTCATTGGAACATTCCCTATATTGAAAATTACCACGTGGGATCCCATATGTAGAATCCCACGTGGTACTTTTCAATAGAGTTAGGTGTTTTATTGCCAACTGGGTATTGATTCTTACATTGTACGGTGATGTTTCTATATCATTTTTCCATACAGGAAAATCAATTCGTGTAAAACTCAGTTTTAATTCATCTACCACATTCTCAGCTTCTTCTTTTGCATCATCATCTAACCAACTGTTTCCAATTTCAATTTTCAATTCTCTTTTCAGACTTAAAAATACTTTATTGAGCTAATGCATAATAATAAATATTCATATATATATATATAAACTAATTGACATTAAAATCTAATTTGACGAATCGAATGCAATGTGAACCCACTCTCAACGCTTATTGTTTAGAAATTAATCTTAGTTGAAAATGAGGCCTTTAGCTCCTTTCATTTGATTTTTGATTTAAGACTTTAAAAAATAGCCAATAATGTATAAATGGAACTTTTATAAATATTGCGAATTGAAAGATTACATTATTTGATCTAAAAGAATAATTCTCCCACATAGCACGACTTCTTGCTGTGAGGTTACTGTAAGGATATCTGTAGGGTTTGTAAGGTTACTGTGTAAGCCTGCAGTAAACTTGAGGTCATCTTAAAATTTCCGCCTTACAGTAAGCTTACACAGTAAAGCTAAGGTAAGCTTACACAGTAAGGTCGTGGTAAGTTTACATGGTAAGGTTGTGGTAAGCTTACACGGTAATGTAGTTGTAAGCTTTCTTTAAGGTTACTGTAAGGTTGATGTAAGGTTACTGTTAATATAAAGTAATATGAAAATATATTAAAAATAATTATATTATAATATATATTATATTATAAATTTTTTTGTATAAAAAATTATATATTTGGTAAAGTACTTTATGAACCCCAATAGGGTTTGTCAAATAAAAGTTACTGCGCAGCCGTATGTGCCATAGAATACTACTGCGCATAAATATTAATAAATTTTATTTATTAACAACATTCTAAGTTTACAGTAACCTTACATCAACCTTACAGTAACCTTAAAGGAAGCTTACAACTACCTTACCGTGTAAGCTTACCACAACCTTACCATGTACCATGTACCATGTACCTTACCTTACAGTAACCTAACAGCAAGAAGTCGTGCTATGTGGGCTATATTATAATAAATAAAACGATACATATGTATATTCATAACTTACAAACTCTTCTCTTTTGTAAAATTCATCATTATTTGCAAGTTCATTATAAATTCCTTCTTTCATTGGGAGTTTGTTGATGCAACGATTAGATCTAACAATATATTTGAAAAATTATTCAAATTTCTTATCAAAAGTGAATAAAAAAAATTTACTAAAGCATATAAAAAAGAACACAAAGTCATATATACCTTTCGATAGTACTCATTTCTCTCATATGTCTGTTAATATAAAACATTTAAGGAAAAATAAGAAAATTGAAAACTTTAGTTAATTATATTAATGCTTAAATAATACCTTCCCTGAATAAATAAAATGTATGTCAAGTTCTTAGTTTTTAATTTATTGAACTAGGCTAATTAATAATAATAACTTAGTCGTTTTTTGAGTTTGGGCTTTCCCACTCTGACCCCATTCTCAATAATTTATTTCCTATTTTTATTCAATTTATTAATAATAATTGAACATAATTTTCTAATTTAATAAATTATTTAAACAAAATTTTGCAATCAACGACAACTATACTTTGGTACTTATTAATCAAAATTATTCCCTCATAACAAAAGGATATCCATAGGATATCCCAGGATATCTTGGGATATCCCTAGGATATCCAAACCGCCGGTATGTGGGACATCAACAGGACATCCATAGAATATCCACAGGATATCCCTAGACATCCACAAAATATCTATTGGATATTATATCGCAGGATATCCATGGGATATCCTCAAGATGTCCGTGGGATATTCTTAGGATATTCACGGGATATTTAATATCTCAACATATATTTTTAAAGGTTAAAATTGTTAAGCTAATATAATGAATAATAATATAATAAAAACAAAAATCTTATGAGCTTCTAATTTATTTTAAATGAAGATTTGAAACGCATTTTTCAAAGTTTTTAAATAAACTCATGCACTTAATGTATAATTAATATTAATAGTAGTCTCATAATGACTTTAAAAACAGTATCCTGAGAATATCTTCTTGACATCCAGAAAATATACTGAGAATATCCTGACGATATCTATGGGATATCCTGATGATATCTGTGGGATATCCTGACGATATCTATGGGATATCTGGAGGACATTTATGAAAGTCTATAGAGATATCCAGAAGATATCCTGTGGATATCCTCAGATATCCATGGGATATCCAACCCGCCGATTTTTTGGATATCCTTAAGAGATCCTTTTGATATCCATAGGACATCCCTAGGATATCTGCGGGATATTATCAATATATCCCAAGATATCTTGTGTTATTAGGGTTACTGGTAAAAATGTTAAATTAAAATAAATGAAATTAAGTAAGTAATTATATTTTAATTTATTGTCTAACCTAATGATATTTTTCACATCTTTGATTCAATAATTGTATGATATAAATGATACTGAGAAATTAAAACTTGTCTGCAGGTACGCGTCGTTAGCATAGTGGTTAGAGCGTTAATCTATAAGTCCGTAGGTCGTAGGTTCGATTCCCCTTGTGCGCAGTTTTGTTTATTTCATAGGTTTGCGTTATTTCTAGATTTTCATTTATAAGTTGTACCAAAACTTGAAAATCTAATACATACACTATTATTTAATTTTTAAATTGTATAAATATTTTTTTACTTTTTTTACTATATACATTGTTTGTTAGTCGTCATCTTTAATACAATTTCATTTGAAAGGAAATTATATTTATTCATTTAATTTACTCTTTTGTTGTTAAATTATTTATATAATTATTAATTAACAATTATAAATAAAAATGGAATAACTCAATCTGGCCTCAGCTGGGATTTCCCAACCTTGGGAAATCTTTGGGATCAGCGTTACGCGCCCAGTTTGGGCGTTGTCTGGGTTGCCCACTTTGGACATTGGGAAACCCAGTCTGGATCAGATTGGGGCCCAGTCGACTTTTCCACACGGGCATCTATTAAGGTATTAGTCGCGCGCCGGCTCTAACCAAAAGTTTGTCTTGAGTCTGACTCAGTCTGTGCTTAGCAAGAGGTATAGTTCTGAGTCAAACTTTTTGAAGGGTACAGGTAACTTCCACTCAGAGCGCCGCGTTCTCGCACGTGTAGAACTAAAGTTTTGATCGCGGCAACGTCGCAATCTGAATATTATTAAAAAAAATTCAAATATGCTTCTTTAAAAGCTATTTTTGAATTATTTATGATTAATAATTATGTATATAAATGCTTAAACTTTTTAAAAGTATGAGACTTACTAAGAATAATTAATAATTAAAGATGTGAATATTATTAAAAAAAATTCAAGTATGCTTCTTTAAAAACTAATTTTTAATTATTTATAATTAATATTTACATCAATAATGTATTATAAATTGGTTTATAAAGTAAAAAATAAATATTTCATCAAAAAATGTTTTTATTTCTTAACTGTTGAAATATAACCAACCAATTTAACGTTTCTCATTCTTATTTTTCTTAAAATATATGATTTAATTTAAAAAATTGAGAATTATTTAATACTAATCTATGTTGTGAAATTTTAAATATATTATTTTTTTATTCTACTCTATGAGATATTCCTACTTTCTAACTGTGTACTTTGCATGATTTTGAATTTTGTATGCATTCGCGCGCTACAGCGTTGCCAAGTTTACTGCTTTCCAGCAGTGGTACTTCATATAATTTAAAATTTTGTTAACTTTCTCCTAATATATTTATAGTTTGGTACGGTCAAAAAATTTCAGTTTTTTTGTAGGCATTCGTTTCATGAGAATGTATTATGTGGTAGTTTTATTTTAAAATCTGACGACTGGTTTTCATTTAAATAATTATAAAGCAAATTCCTTCCATGCATTAGGTGCTCCGTCCATGTAAAAAGTATCAACTTTGAAATGATATTTTAAAGCTTAGGAACGGTCAAAATCGATGGGATTGGTCTTATTTTGTAGATAATTATGTCAGAAACACTCTTGCAAAATTTAAAAAATATCTGACGAAAATGATTTTACGCGACTAATACCTTAAATTTTATGAAAATTAAAAAAAACTATAAATCATGAAACCTAATGTATGACTATAAAATGAAAAGTCTGCTAACTTAGACAAATTTTAACGAATTCTAATCGATTAGAAGTCATTTGAAGCAGAATTGACTATACTTTCGATATGTTAAAAGAAAGTAGGCATATGTTATATCAGATAACAGTTATAAATTGATCGAAAAGTTGAAAAATCAATAAAAAAATCGAAATTTTTGAAAGTATTTGGTCTTTATTGTCATCAATTAAGAAGATACAACAAAAATCCTTTATACAATTGCAAAAATCTGTTTTTCAGCTTAAAAATTAAAAAAAAAAAAATGAAATCGGAAAAAAAATTATGAAGTTGCAAAGATTTTTTCACAAAAAATGGTTTTTCGTCTCTAAAATCAAATTTTGAGGGTGTATAAGCAATTAAATATACATCATTATTTTCAGTTTTCTGTGCTATATTAGGTCCGATAAGAAGTTTTTGAAGTCATATTTTTTTTTTGCAACACAGTGTAATTAATATTAACTTTTAAAATTAGCTAAAATCCAGCTTCTAATTTTTTCATAACTGAAGTTAATAAATATCATACTATCTCTATATCTGTATTGCCTAAGTTTGTTTAAAAATTAATATTCAATGCAATAACGATTTGAAAAATAATTCGAACTTTCTTTATATATTTCTCCTGAACGCAAGTGACAACCGTGGCACAATTTATCATTATCAAATGATATTTCTATAAAAAATTTATTTTAGAGCTTCTTCATGCGTCCCGTTTATCAAACTAAATTTTATAACAATTTTATGTTCACATTTGTTAAATGATACATTTTTATTAATGTTCGAAAAAGCGATATTTTGCAGAATAAAATGTGACCCCTGGCGGATTCGATTTGCGTAATGTCTACTTAACTAAGCGGACTTTAGGTAGACATTAGGTAGACATGTAAAAAAACGTATAAAAAAGCTATTAATCGACTTATTATGATAAAAAAAAGTTGATAAAAGGGTAAATGAATGTTTATAGAGTAAATTCGTACAAGATTTGTAATTAATAAAGCAATAAATAATTAATAATGAATGGAAATGTGCGCGAGGTACCTGATCAGTTCAGCTGTACAATTATTTTCGTGCTATTTTCATGAAAAGAATATAAATTAACTGCAAAAACAATTGATATTTATAAAAAAGTGTAAAATTGATTTAATTTTATTGTTTGCAATACGAATTATTAAATAATAATTAAGTTTTTATCAAATGTGAATAGTGTTGTGAAAACCTGTGAAAACTAATGAGTTACTACATTACCGATCGCATATGATAATAAAAAGTTCTCTATGAGTGTAACAAAAAAGCTGCAATCATGTCCGTAATTTTGGACGAGAAACAATTATGAAATCAATAATTATTTGTATAACTTTATTCTGCATTTTAAAATTCACTTTTTATTTTCTTTCAAAGCAAAAGCTTGGAAGAAAACATGCTCGCACTGTATTGTAAAAACTGGTGGCGCCATCTCTCATATGCGATCGGTAATGTAGTAACTCATTAGTTTTCACAGGTTTCCACAACACTATTCACATTTGATAAAAACTTAATTATTATTTAATAATTCGTATTGCAAACACTCAAATTAAATCAATTTTACACTTTTTTATAAATATCAATTGTTTTTGCAGTTAATTTATATTCTTTTCATGAAAATAGCACGAAAATAATTGTACAGCTGAACTGATCAGGTACCTCGCGCACATTTCCATTCATTATTAATTATTTATTGCTTTATTAATTACAAATTTTGTACGAATTTACTCTATAAACATTCATTTACCCTTTTATCAACTTTTTTTTATCATAATAAGTCGATTAATAGCTTTTTTATACGTTTTTTTACATGTCTACCTAATGTCTACCTAAAGTCCGCTTAGTTAAGTAGACATTACGCAAATCGAATCCGCCAGGGACATTTTAGGTTAAAAGTAAAAATTTATAATTATCAATGTTTGAAGCTAATTTATTCTTTGGAATCAAATTAGTTGTATCAAAAAACTTACAAAATTACTAAGAATATATCAAACTAATATATTAAAATATAAAAAAAATTCAAAAGCAACACATTCAATAAATTTGAGCTCGATAAAATGCTCGGGTCTACTGGACCTATGGTGGCAGTTATGGGTTAAAACGCATTAAACTAATTCGCTAGGGAGTCCGTAGAAGTCAGTGGGATTCCGTTCGATTATAGAGAATTTGACTTTCGAACGCAAGCAATCAAAAGGATTCAGTATTATATTCTATGTCGATTTTCTTTCACGTTGCGCATACGCCGAGCTGTGCAAGATTATTTTAGTCTATTTATTATTTAATTTTAGTTAAACAATTTAATATAAAGAAAAATATTATTCTTACTTGCAGTATGTTTTGTTTGTTTAATGTAATATGAAAAAGAGAATTTTCACCCACTGTATTGAAATAATATTTAGCCACATGTTGCCAATTTGTCTGAAAAAGTACTGAAGCTTCTGTTCTTTTAATTACTATATCTTTATACAATCTTAATCCTTCATTTAACGAGAAATCTGTAATAAATTTAATATAATTAATATAAATACATATATGCGCATATAAAAAATTATACTACACTTACCTGGGTCAATACATGCATAATACAATCTCTTTTCAACATAAAGTTCTCTGTTATTTTCGTCAATATTTTGATTTTCTAAAATATCTAAACATAAAATATAATTGTTGAAAAATTAAACCTATCCATCAAAAAAGGGCATATATATTAAAATTCTTGGCCCCTACTAAGGGATTATATTAGTATATAAATTTCGCCTATAGGGCGGGAACATGAATCTAAAATTTGGTTTAAAAAAAGTGCTCTCTAAATTTGAATATAAGTAAAATTTCTCTTACAATGTTTTAAAAATCTTCCACGTAGAAAAATAAGTGTATATGTACTTAAAAATAAGTGATTTTCACTCAAAAATAAATCAAGTTTCATTTATTTTTAAGTGCATAATATACATTTATTTTTCAACGTGGAAGACTTTTGAAACATAATTCTAAGTGAAATTTTACTTATTCAGATTTAGAGAGTGTATACATGTTACAAAATGTGTTTGATTTTAGTTTTTACCTCTAATCAAAGAAATTAAATTGTCCTTCGTCATTATTTTACTATTCCAAATTGTAATATTCGCAGGTCTAGGATTGTTTTGAGCCCAATTACCACAAGTATATTTATAAAAATTATTACAAGGTTGTTGGTTGCGATCTAAACCGCTTTTTACAAGATTGGCTACATATATATGCAAAAAAAAAAATTTACTGATAAAATAAAAATATATCCTATATACATGTTAAATATTTTAATAACCATCATACACTCTATTGAAAAATCCTATTTAGGTTCCTGTCAGAACTTATACGGATTAATGAACATCAATATTGGCGATTCAAACAGCTACACTAGCGCCACAGTTGAACTAATTTAGGTGTGACTCGCTCTGTAGCACTCCATGTGTTTTAAATTATTTTTTTTTATTTAACGCTTAAAAATAATTTTACAAACGCAATAAAAATATCAGAATAATTAAATAATTTGAAATAAAATGTCAAAACAGAGACTGCTTTAGAGCGAGTCACACCTAAATTAGTTCAACTGTGGCGCTAGTGTAGCTGTTGGAATCGCCAATATGGGTTCCCATAGGGAAAGTTAGTCATTTTTAAATAGGGAAAAATTTTATTTCTAATTTCTAATTATTTTTATAAAAAAAAAGAAATAAAATGTACAATAGACATTAAAAAAAAATTCAAAATGGCGGATTTAAGATGGCGGACAAAAAAAATTGAAAATCAACCGGATTTGCTTGAAATTTATGTTTCTTGGGAATTTTGGGGTCACTGATTACGAATTCGATGTTAGTTTTCAAGAATTCAAAATGGCGGACAAAAATGAAAAAAATCAACCGGATTTTGCTTAAAATTTATTACTCGGGGGTTTTTAGGGTCGCTTAATTCAAATCTGATATCAAAATTTAAAATCCAAAAACCCTCGAGTAATAAGTTTTAAGACATTTGGATTCAATTTTTAAAAAAGTCGTCCGCCATATTGGATGCGCCATTTTTAATTTTGAAAAACTAAGCTCAGATTCGTAATCAGCGACTTCAAAAACCCCCGAGTAACAAATTTCAAGCCATTTGAATTGAGTTTTAAAGAACTCGTCGCCAATATTGGATCCGCTATTTTGAATTTTGTAAAAACTACAGAGTCGCAGTGATATCTGTAGTGTGCCAAAGATGATGTAAAAAATATAATTTTGCAATTTATATAACAATTGCATATGTTTTTTGATAAGATGTTCACGACCCAACGGAAAGGGTTAAATATTAATTGCCTGGCAATATTGATTATGTCCGCACGGAAAAAAAAGAAAAAGTAATTTTTACTACTTTCATAGTAAAATTGGACCTGTCCGAAGTTTCTGCGCATCTCTGGCAACTTTTACTCAAAAAATAGTAAAATTTACTATTTTTGTAATAATTTTTACTATTTCTGGAGTAAATTTTACTATTTCTGGAGCAAATTTTACTATTTTTGGAGTAAAAGTTGCCATAGATGCGCAGAAACTTCGGACAGATCCCATTTTACTATGAAAGTAGTAAAAATTACTTTTTCTTTTTTTCCGTGCGTCTTGAGGGAATATTGCCTAAATATTACGTTACAATAATATACCTAAATATTCTCTTAGGGCGGGCATAATCAATGTTGACTTAACATTGCCAGAAAATATTGGCAATGCATGCAATATTGACACAATATTGTGGCCATATATGTTATGCTATTTTCGGATTCCTATATTATATTTATACTTACAAATCTCTTCGATATCATCGTACATACAATTAACTAATGTCAATGCATATCTAGAAATATATGTAAATTTAAAATATTCATAAGATATACCCTCACAGCACCAGATATCCTAGGATATTCCAAAAACATCCCTTGGATATCCTAGGGATATCCTAGGGATATCCTAAGGATACTTTAAGAATATCCAAAGTAGCGGCGGTTAGGATATCCTAAGGATATCCCAGGGATCTCTAAGGATAACCCTAGGACGTCCCAGGGATATCCTAATCATTTCCCCGGGTATCCTTAGAACATCCTGAGGATATCCTATGGATATCCCTGGAATAATTAAGGATGTCCTTAGGACGTCCTAAGGATATCCACAGTATGTCTATATTATCTTATAGGTTAGAATATCCTTGAGTCGTTCTAAAAATGTCCCTAAGGTATCCATAAAACGATCCTAACATACAAATTGATTAAATAAAAATGGAAAACATATTTTTTGGATGTATTTATAATGTATTTCCAAGATATCTAAAATGATTTACCTTGTCTACAAGAATTCTTTTTTCTACTTTTTCTTTAAAAAATCTCTTGAAACCAACTTAAGCGCTAACTATATTTGTATCAAAAAATCGCTATCTCAAATAGTCAAAACTTGAATCATAATGATATCCTAGGGAGATCTTAGCGATATTTCTAAAATATTTTAACGATATACCAAGTTTATCCCAAGAATATCCCCACGAAATCACTAGGATATCCCTGGAATATCCCAGGGATATCCCTAGAATATCCTCAGGATATCCCTAAAATATCCTCAGGATATCCCCAGGATATCCCAAAAATATCCTAGGGATCGTTCACATATTACGTCACGCTATTTTTCATTATTTTTTAACCCCCCCCTTCCCCACGTCACACATTATTCTATACATTAGCGCCATTTTTTCTACAGGTCGTCACACATTCAACAGACCCCTCCCCCCTCTAAGCGTGTGACGTAATATGTGAACGATCCCCTACGTAACGGCGGTTTGGATGTTCTGAGGATATCCTAGGATATCCTATGGACATTTTCAGGATATCCTACATTAGTTTAGGATATCTTGAGGATATCCTCAGGATATCCTTTTGTTGTGAGGGTAACTTTTAATAATTAATTAAAAATATATATACAAAAAGTTACTTACAATATTTTTATAATCAATAGGTATAACATGTTTCGACTCATTTTTAAACGAACTGAAATAAATATATATTTATATATATATATATTATTTAATAATTTTATAATAATTTTTATAACTTTTTAACAAATTGTTGAGGAAAAAGGAGACAAGTTCAGAGGAGCAAATGAAATGACTTGGAATGTAAATTGTATTCTTATTTTTATCGTTTTTGAGTTCATCGTAAAACATGACATTAAATTTATAGATATTAAAGGAAAGAAGAAACTGATAATTTTACTGTTATGTTAAACAAATTTTTTTTATTTTAACGTAAATTGTGTTGAAACATAATATTTTTTTACGAGTTTAAAATTTTTTTAATAATTTTTACAAAAAATTTTTATAGTTTCATACTTAAGGAAGTTCTCTCGCAAACAGAAATGACGAAGAGTTAATTATCAAACTTGATAAACTGATAGATAATGGTTTAAAGAAGATGTAGTTAAATTTTTAGGGGTCTAGGTGGATTTTGACAAAAGATATAAATAATTTTCTCTTTTCACATTTAACACGGGTTCTTATGGGAAATTGAATTTTTTGGTCTGAAATCTCAAATTGTGAAAAATCTGACGAAAAGATATTACTGGAACTTTATATACATAAAGTTTAATAGCCAATGTTAACTTACTTTTAATAAAATTGATCAGACCTGGCTTAGGAGACTCACAATTAATTATTTTGTCTAAAAAAACACCGTATTTTGACAATCAGAAATTACTTAGCACAACGCTTGGCAACGTTGCGTCTTGTAGGTTAGGTATAGAAAAAGCGCGAAATTTGAAAGTAATATAAGTAGTATATACATATAATAGTATATTCTTCAAAGATTTATAATAATGAATAATAATTTGAATTTGCTTATAAAATTAAGATTTTTAAAATAATAAATTATTATTATTATTATTTAACGAAAATAAATCAAACAATAGCAGACGACACGAAACGTAACGGGGGAAATATAATCCAACGTTGCCAAGCGTTGAGCTAGTACTACGTGATACAAATGAAAACTTAAATGGGCATTGATTTGACTGACGTTGGAGGGGGAGAACTTCCTTAAGCCGCTAGATGGTATGGTTTTTTTCCATATCTCCCTAGTAAGAAGGCATGAATTAAAAAGTTTTGAAATTTATTCAATTCCTGTGAATTCCTTTTTTGTCCATTATATTTAATTCCCCAGAGAGGTTTCGAAAAAATTAAAGTTGAACTCCTTTCTATGTTAATTCCCATATGAGATCTTTTATAAGATCGCTTATGGTTTCTTATATAGGTATATGAAATTTTATACGAAATCTTATAAGGACACCTCGTAAGAAGAATCTCATCAGTGTCCATACATGATTCCATATAGGTTCCCATATGGGGTCGAAATTTTAAAAATAAAATTTATGAATATCACAAAAACGGTGAGAAATACGCAAAATCAAACAAAATTTTATTTTTTTTGTTCGCAATTGGTATCAATGCTTTGATGTTGTCACTGCGCTTGCGAACCAACGCATCAGTCACGCAACGCAAACATTTAGGAACCTATTGAAGGCCTTTCTCCAATAGGTTCCTAAATATTTGCGTTAGGACACGTCGCATTGGTTCCCATGTAGTTTAGCGTTGGTGACGTCATACGTCTACGTTTACGAATGCTCTTAGGTTCCTATTGGAGACGCTCCAAGTGAGGCAGCGCCATCTACATTGATACTAAAATTTTGGAAAATTTTCAACAGCCATTTCTTGAAAACAAGATGGTAAAATGCTTTTTCCTTTATGGATAATTGATTATTGGCAAGATATATAACAGCTAAAACTTTTTTTGAGTTAAAATAATGAAAAAAATTTCCATGTCGATAAATTAAATATGAGCACTTTTTTCACAAAACCTGTAACAGTACTTTCTCAGAAATTACAATCAAAAATGCAATTTCCATTTGGAAAATTAATAAACGCTAAAAAATACACGACCTAAGATTTACTAATCACGAAAATAACAAAAAAAAATTTTACTAAATATTTAACATATTGATACTGCTTTACTGATTGTAACAGCCCTTTGGTAGATTATGTATTTCAGGTGGTTAGCAACAGCGCCAATCTCCTCCTTTCGGCAAAACTGCGAAACGTCTGGTGACATATATAACCTGCTAAACCGCTGTCATAATGAGTAAAATATGTTATGTTAAAATACTTTTTTTTGTTATTTTCGTGATTGGTAAATCTTAGGTCGTGTATTTTTTAGCGTTTATTAATTTTCCAAATAGAAATTGCATTTTTGATTGTAATTTCTGAGAAAGTACTGTTACAGTTTTTGTGAAAAAAGTGCTCATATTTAATTTATTGGGAACGGTGGTCTAGTAACAATCTAGTAACTTTGACCCATTCTCTACCCTCCATTTTGTTTTTTCTACTCTTTCTAACCTATTAATTGAAGAGAGACAAAGAAAGAAAATGGAGGGAGAGAATGGGTCCCCACCAGATGGCGTATTGCAGTTTAGCCGATCCCAATTGACATAAAATTTTTTTTATTATTTTAACTCAAAAAAAGTTTTAGCTGGTGTATATCTTGCCAATAATAATCAATTATCCATAAAGGAAGAAGCATTTTATCTTCTTGTTTTCAAGAAAAGGCTGTTGAAAATTTTTCAAAATTTTAGTTTCAATGTAGATGGCGCTGCCTCACTTGGACCTGGCCTTAAAACAGCAAGAGCTTCATCCACGAAGTAATAATAAGGAGACTCCAACTATAATGATTTATATTATCGGAATCTGGCTAGGGTGACTGGGCCATAAGTGACCTGTTCGCTAAATGGAATTGACTCTCGAACGAGAGCGCATGTGCAGTGTCATATATGTGTCTCTCTCCAACTAATGTATAAAGTGCGAGTGAAAAAGTCGCCGTCATCAGTCTAATGGAGCGGTCACACCTCGGCTGCAAGAGCAGTTGTAAGAGTAAGAGAGATAGAAGATTTTCCATCTCTCTTACTCTTACATGGTTGCCATTGGCAACTGCTCCTGCAGGCGAGGTGTGACCGCTCCATAATGCTGGCAACTTTCTCAGTCGCACTTTTCCTATTAGTTAGAGAGAGACACGTATATTACACTGCACATGCGCTCTCATTCGAAAGTTAATTCCCTTTAGCGAACATGTCACTTATGGTACAGTGACCTTGACAGATGGCAAATACAGAGTTGTGTCTCCTTATTATTACTTTGTGGCTTCATCCGTTTTGGTGCATAAATTCTTTGCAACCTGCGTTTTGACCATAGAGTTATTATAAATAGAGTGGGGAAGGACTGTACCTAAGCGTCCGCTGCATAGAAAGAGAAAGACAACCGAAACCGTATATCTGTCCTCTTCTGCCCCCTTCAGTCACTCGCCCGCGCTTGCGCAGTGAAGCATTTTTAGAGAAGGACAGAACTACGGTTTCGGTTTTCTTTCTCTCTCTTCGGGCGTCTCATCGCCACTTACTGTGGCTCCTATACCTTCCCCACTCTATTTATAATAACTCTATGGTTTTGACCGATATCGATGGTTGGAAAGGGAGGGCAGGCTTGGCCAAAACGCAGGTTGCAAGAATTTATGCACCAAAAAGGATGAAGCTCTTGGGCTGTTTCTGAATTGGGATTTTTGTCGCACCTTTGATAAAGTGTATACTCGGGAGACGCTTTCTATTCACCGAACGGTCAATACGTCGAACAGGCAAAATGTCGAAAAGCCAATACGTCGAACTGACAAAATGTCGAAAAATTTTATTGACTTAAGTATAATTATAGTTACTTCAATAAAATTTTTCGACATTTTGTCAATTCGATGTATTGACTGTTCGACTTCTTGGCTTTTCGACATTTTGACCGTTCGACGTCTTGGCTTTTCGACATTTCGTCTGTTCGACGTATTGACCGTTCGATAAATAGCAAGCGTCTCATACTCGGGAAGTATGCAGTCACCTTGTTTTTAAGTGGGTAAAAAAGGACACTACATACTTCCCGAGTATACAATTTATCAAAAGTGCGCTAAAAATCCCAATTCGTAAACGGCCATACACTTTATTGAAAGTGCGCTAAAAATTCTAATTCGGAAACAGCCAAACACATTTCTGTCACATTTCAGATGTTTTACTATTGATAATTGTGGATTCAGCATAAAGAACAAGTTTTGGAAATTCGTTAAGGCCTAAGCAGAATAGATTCTTGAACGGGAACGCAATCGTGAACGGAAACGTAAGAATGGGTGAGAGAAGAATAAAGATATTTGCTATCCTTCTCTTACACATTCTTACGTTTCCGTTTACGATTGCGTTCCCGTTCAAGAATCTATTCTGCTTAGGCCTTTATATATAGTTTCGTGCGCCAGTTAGTTGACAACACGTCAAAAATGGCAGATTCAGGTTTGAGCAGAAGTGATATTGAAGAAGTTTTTAAAAGATTACGTTCAATTCCAACGAATAAGGTTAGTAAATTTTTAAATTAATCACTTTCATTCAATGTAAATAATTTTCTAAAACAATTGTTTTTTAAAAAATTCTTTTTATTATTTTCAAAAATTGCTTCCACCTTTCCTCGAATAAGACCTAATTTTTCCTTTCAATGACACATAATTTGCTAATTGAAAAACTTTCCATATAAAATATTTTTTTAATTTTATTATATATACAAGTGTAAATGAAAATTATTTTTAACTATATATGAAAAGATTGAAATTTTTTTTTTTTTAATTACAATTTTGGAGGTTATGTTTCGAACTAATTGTCAATATTTAACATCATATGTATATATATAATATGTACATATTGGTATAATTATTTCTCAACTGTCACAGTAAGCAATTAAAAGATTTTGGATTGACTTGATACTTTTGTTAATTTTTGTCCTATAGGATTATAAAAAAATCTCTTAAATATTGACAAATTTAAAAAAAAAATATATAAAATGTGGTGGGGGTTGAAGTTTTGACGTTTCAGGTGACAATCAGTTTTAAATACGTATAATTACGATAAAACTTTATGGATTTTAATTTTCAAATAGGTTTTTTTTTGGAAGTTTTTTTTTTATGTAATTTATTTTAATTTATTTATTTTTATATATTTTATTGAAAAAATTCTCAGCTTTTGACTGATAGTAAAGAAAGAATTTCCTTAAAATGACGAAATGGATCAAATTTAAAAAATAAGGATTAATTTTTCGATGATTAACGATTTAGAAGAAAAAAAATATATTATTTTATATAAATTATAATTTTTTGACAAAAAACTTTTTTTCCACGTTTTTTGATCAACAATTTAAAAAAAAAAATAATTTGTAGGCAAAAAAAATTTTTATTATTTTTCGTGTGAAAAATATTTAATTTTTTTTTGAAATCGATGTTCGTAAATGTTAATCAAAAACATTGTGAACTTTACCGAAATTTTTTTTTTTGGCAAATAAAAATTCATTAAAACTAAAGACTCATTTTTTTTATTGTGAAAGAAAAATTAAGTAAATATTTAAAAGTACATAAAGTACGTAATTTTTACTAAAGGCACGTAAAATATGTACTTTTGACTAAAACTCGATCATTAAGCTCACGGCCCAAAAGAAAACAAAATTAATCATTGTTTATAGCTATAACATTCCATTTTTATATTAAAAATGAAAATTTTAAATTAAAAAAAACAATCAATTTTGTTCCGTAAATTGATCCTTAATGTTTTATTTTTTGGTCTGTAAAGTATGTAATTTTTAGTGCCGATGGTATTTCGAGGCCTAAATTAATTAATCGGATAAAAAAAAATTAAGGATCTATTGTTTTAATAAATTTTTTTTTTAGTTAATAAAGTACCTAAACAAATGACAAACTAGATTTTTGCGTTTTATTTATTTAACTTATTTATTTTAAAAAATTTTTATAAGTCTTAAAATTTTTCAACATTTTTAACGACATTCTCTGGCCTTTTTTCCGAAAAAACTATTTTCTTCAATAAATTTTCATCAAATTTTGAAAAATTAATATTATTATTTATTTATTTATCATATGTTTTATTTATAATGTGTCTGTTCAGTTATTACTTGTTTTTAAAAAATGGATTGATTGATTTGAACTCCAAACTCTATGTTTTCTCCAACGTTAGGGTGGTTTTGTTTTTATTAATTTGACACCGCAATTGAGCGTCTACATGCAATAATCGGTCGAGCGCTCAGCTGAACGCTGTAATGCCAGTCAGACGGGTCAAAAAGTAAAAAAAAAAAAATGAAAATTTTGATTTTTAAAAAATAATACCATGCAGAAAATGAAGAGACGCATCTTTTTTTCTTTTGAGATTTTTTTATAGGACGAAAATTTAATTTAATAAATCCAAAAAACTGAAAATTTTTTTTTCACTATTTTCATTATATTTTTAAACATAAATCGTCGTAACTTCCACAAATATTAATGAAATCGATTAAAATTCGGTATACAAACGCATTAGGGTCTAGAGAATACGATAAATTAATAAAAAAATTTTTAATCATTAATTATTCAATAAATTATTATTATTATTAATGACGTGTCGATAATCACGATTTCTTACCTTCGCCGAGAAAAAGTCTGTGAGGAACTTTCGAGTTGAAAGAACTTCCAGTGAGACATTTGTTTATTAATATATAAAGAAGTTTTTTGGAAATTTTCGAGTCAATTCATTCACAACTTTCAAAAATATAAGTGTTTTTTGAAAAAGCGGGTGGCGCGCTAGCGAGTCGCCACGTGGAGAGTTTCATCTGCTAGAATAATAGGCGATAGTGTTTTGTTTTCGTACATATTTTTTATTTATTTTCGTATATAAGCAAGCATGTCCGGCAATGTTCTCTAGACCCTAATGCGTTTGTATACCGAATTTTAATCGATTTCATTAATATTTGTGGAAGTTACGACGATTTATGTTTAAAAATATAATGAAAATAGTGAAAAAAAAATTTTCAGTTTTTTGGATTTATTAAATTAAATTTTCGTCCTATAAAAAAATCTCAAAAGGAAAAAAAGATGCGTTTCTTCATTTTCTGCATGGTACTATTTTTTAAAAATCAAAATTTTCATTTTCTTTTTTTTTTTTACTTTTTGACCCGTCTGACTGGCATTACAGCGTTCAGCCGAGTGCTCGACCGATTATTGCATGTAGACGCTCAATTGACCATTATTTCTATGACTTGACATATGTTTCTTATTTGACTCCCTGAAGAGGAAATCATTTAGATTTCGAAACGTTGGAGTAAACCTTTATTAAAACAACAATGGTCCGAATGTTATCGTTTTATTCATACGAAACCTTCTAATTAATACATATATTTCTCGGACGTTAAACTATTTAAAATTTTTTATTATTATTGTTATAAAAATTAAAAATTTTAACTTTGATAATTCACAATTATTAGTTTTTTTGGGGGGTAATAAATCTAATTTTTAGAAGGCCCCAAACAAGAGTTAAAAACTTATTTTAAAAAAAAAACCCAAAAAACTACTTTCTTTACTGCATTTAAGAACCCTATACAAATGAAAAAAAAAACGCCACACAAATTTAATTTTAATGTCAAGAGATTGAACCGTCTGCGGGGGCATGATTATTCCATAATGTGAATCATTTAGAAATTTCATTTTATAGAATTTTATAAGATAGAATTTTACTTTATTCGAATTTGTATTTTTCGAATTAATATTTAATAGAATTTAAATTAACCAGAATTTATACTTAACAGAATTTCTAAGTAATCAAAATTTTAATTAACAAAATAATCTTTCAACATAATTTCCATTTAGCACATTTTTTATTCAAAAGAATTTTTCTTAACACGAATTTTTATTTATCAGAATTCTTATTAAACTGAATTTCGCCAGAATTTGCATTAAATCAAATCTAACATTTGTCCGAATTTTTATTAACACAAAAATGTCATTTAATAGAAATCTTAAAACTCAGAATTTTCATTTATCCTACATTGAAATTGATCGAATAAACAAACGGCAGAAATATTTTAGCGCCAATTTTAAAATTGACCAATCAGAAACTGTCAAAATTGTGATTGATCAATTTTAAAATTGGCGCCAAAATATTTCTGCCGTTTGTTTATTCGACCATTTTCAATGTAGAATAAATGAAAATTCTGAGTTTTAAGTTTTCTACTAAATAACATTTTGTGTTAATAAAAATTCGGACAAATGAAGATTTTCTTTAATGCAAATTCTGGCGAAATTCAGTTTAATAAGAATTCTGATAAATAAAAATTCTTTTAAATAAAAAGTGTGCTAAATGGAAATTATGTTGAAAGATTATTTTGTTAAATAAAAATTTGATTACTAAGAAATTCTGTTAAGTATAAATTTAATTTAATATTAATTTAATTTAATTTGAATTCTATTAAATATTAATTCAAAAAACACAAATTCGAATAAAATAAAATTCTATCTTATATAAAATTCTATAAAATGAAATTTCTAAATGATTCACATTATGGAATAATCAAGCCTCCCCTAAAAAACGTCAGAACAAATTTAATTTCAATGTCAAAAGTTTGAACCGTCTTAATAACAAAAATGTCTTTAAGAAAAATAATTAAAATTTTCCAGACATGTTTCGATTGCAATGCAAAAAATCCAGTGTGGTCCAGCGTCACATATGGAGTTTTTCTTTGCATCGATTGTTCAGCTGTTCACAGAAATTTAGGAGTTCACTTGACATTTGTGCGCTCAACTCAACTTGACACAAATTGGACATGGCTTCAACTAAGAAACATGCAACTAGGTGGAAATGCAAACGCTGTGAGAATAACAAATTATTCAAAAAAAAATAAAATAAATTACATTACCAAATAATTTTTAATTAACAATAAAATGTAAATTTTAGAGAAAATTTTTTGCTCAACACAATTGTATGAGTAATGATGCACAACAAAAATACACATCAAGAACGGCACTTCTTTATAAGGAAAAATTATCTCAAGCTTCATCAAAAGCAATGCGTCTTTATGGAACAAAGGTGATTATTCACTATTCCTTTTTGCCCCCCCCCCCAAAAAATATATTCTAATTCAATTTATTTGTAGTACAAATATTTTAATGTATAATTTATAGGTGTTTGTTCCTCCACTTTCATATAAGTCGGTGAGCTATCACATCTCTCCGTTTGTGTGTATTTTTTGAAAAAATTTCAACTCATTAACAGTATGATTATTGTAATAAATTTTTCTTTCTCACTCAATGATAAAAAAAAAAGTCGAAACGCATAAATAATGCAAAAATTAGAATTTTTATTTTTTAGAATTTTTCATATAATTTTTTTAAAGACAAATTTTTTATTACGAATTATTTTTCAACAGAATTTCCCGATTTTCTATATTAGGGAATTTTTACTCTATCGAAAATTCATTTAACAAAATTTCTATTTGTTCGAATTTTTATTTTGACAGAACTTTAATTTCGTTGGAATAAATATTTTGTCGCGAATTTTAGAATTAACCAATCAAAACATTCTGGATAATTTCTGATTGGTTAATTCTAAAATTCGCGCCAAAATGTTTATTCAAACGATATTAAAGTTCTGTCAAAATAAAAATTCGAACAAATAGAAATTCTGTGAAATGAATTTTCGATTGAGTAAAAATTCTCAAATATAGAAAATCGTGAAATTCTGTCAAAAAAATAATTTAATAAAAAATTTGGCTTTAAAAAATTATATCTACAAAAATTGTGTGAAATAAATATTCTAAGAAATTAATTTTTTATGCTTAAAAATCAATCCCGTGTAACACATTATTATTATTATTATTATTATTATTATTATAATTAACACCGCTTTGATTGATTTTAAAAAGACAAATATTACGTCTCAAAAAATAAAATAAAAATGTGAGCAAAAATTTATGCAAAAAGAAATTTTACAAAATTTAATAGTATTTATTTACTTTATTAACAGTTACATTTAGAGAATCCAGCACAACCAGAAGTAGAAGAATCAAATGAGATAGATTTTTTTAAAGAACATGAGAATTTAGAAAGTAACAACGAATTCACAGTGCCTAAAGTGGAAAAGCCGCTAATCACGCTAAACACTATTACTAGCGAATCAACACCAAAAATATCAACAAAAACAGAATTAATTGATAATACTTTAGGTCCGTCCGTTAAATTATCAGATACCGGTGCTTTAACCACTGAAAGGAAATCAACAATTGGAACCAGAAAAGTTCAACCAAAAAAAACTGGGGTAAAAAATTTATTTATTTATTTAAATATTTTAATTTATACAAAAAAAAAAAAATGATGAAATTTTATTTATTTTCAAGTTGGGCAAGAAAAGTGGTTTTGGCGCTCAACGTGTGAAAACAAATTTCGATGAATTGGAAAAAAGTATGCTCGAAGCATCACGAGAAATTGTGAAAAAAGAAACTGAAGAAAAATCTAAAGAGGAACAGGAAGAAATTGCAACACGTTTGGCTTATCAATATGAACAAAATTTAAGTATACAAGCAAAAAAAGTTGAGGAAACAATAAAACAATTAAGTCCATCTAAAGCCGGACAGGCCGAGAGACTTGGCATGGGATTCAATAATCGCAGGTGAGTTGCAATTTTTAAAACTATTACATGTAGAAAAAAAAACAACACAAAAAATGTTTCTCTTCTTCTTCTTTTTCCAGAGGTGCAAGTCATTCGGCTTTTGGCGATATGAGTACAATTGCCCAAGAGTCATCATCGAAAGTTTTCACTGCCTCAGAGCCAAAAAGAGAATTACGATCACTCGATGAAACACTTGCGACACTTGCTTCATTCAAAGATATTGATGATTTTGCATTTGAACACATTTTCAAACCGCCTTCATTAAATGCACGTTCACAAAATGATGAGGTCACTATTATTGCTGAACCTGAACCGCCCAAGAGAATGACGCCACGTCATAATTCTCAAAAGGAGAATAAAGTCACTGCTGAGGGTGATGCTCAAAAGAAATTTGGCTGCGCCAAAGCAATAAGTAGCGATCAATATTTTCGCGACAGTATTGGAGATGATAATGTACGATTTTGAATATTTATTATTAATACAGTCGAACCTCGATAACTCGAAATTCGTTAAGACGAATTTTTCAGTAAGACGCAGAAAAAAACTTAGAATTTTTAATTCGAACTCGAACAAAAGACTGTTACTCAATTGTTTATTTATAAAGAAATATTGTCAAGACCATCAGTCAAAATTCTTGTGTCAAAAGTAAAAGTCATTCATTCTAAATTCTTAACTATTATGATTCTAAATTATTCGTAAAGACAATAAAAAAAACAATTTCACAATATTTAACAGACAATTGACAATTTGGCTGTTGAATACAAAATTATAAATTCGAAACACAGAAAAAAAAATATAATTAAGTACTGGCCGCTATTAAAGAATGGAAGACGTTATTCAAAATTACAGTAATCAAAGGCTATGATAATGTCAATAAAATTTACAAACAACATACATAAGAAATGTTCGGATATGTTTGTGCTTTTGGATGACTAAATATATATTCATGACTTGACAGTCAATAAACCGTCTGTATTCAGTAGAAATTTTCCGTAGATTTCCTCTACTCTGATCAAGAAAGGGTCAGGAAAATGCGAGTACTTCTAATAAAAGTCGACTACAGACCGCAATTTGAGAGTTTTGATAGTGGGAGTTAAATGCGGGGATAGAATGAGGCGCATGAATTTTCTACAAATTTCAAATTGTCTAACACTTAATTAATCTAAATTTAATTGGCCTAAAATTCGTATGAACTAATTATTACTTGGCCTATTCTGTATATGACCTAATTCTTATTTGGCCTAATCTTCATTCAATCTAATCGTCATTTATCCTAATCTAAATATAACCTAATTCTTATTTAACGTAATATTTATCAGCCCTAAATCTCACTTGGCCTGAACTATACACTAAAAACATTTACCATAACAAAATAAAATTTAGTCCACGTAAGAATTAGACCAAGTGAGGATTAGGCCAAATAAAAATAAGATTACATTAAGATTAGGCGAATTGAGAATTAGATTAGATTAATAGTAGAACAATTAACAATATAGTAAAATTAGGCAAAATGAGAATTAGGTCATATAAATATAAGAACAAATAATAATTAGGTTATAGTATGATTAGGCCAAATGAGAATTAGGTTTTATAAAGATTGGATGAAATGAAAATTAGTTTAAGCAGAGTTTATTCCATATGATAATTAGACCAAATGAAAATTATTTCACATGATTATTATGGTAAACGGTGTTTAGGCTAAGTAATAATTAGGTCAGATAAAAATGAGGCTAAAAAAGTATTCAGTTACAGAAAATTTAGGTCAAGTGAGATTTAGGGCAGATAAATATTACGTTAAATAAGAATTAGATTATATTAAGATTAGGCCAAATGACGATTAGTACAAATAAGTATTAGATTGAATGAAGATTAGGTCATATACAGATTAGGTCAAGTAATAATTAGTCCATACGACTTTTAGGCCAATTAAGTGTTAGGTTGATAGCTGTTAGAAAATATTAAAATGTTAACTCAATTAGTTCCAAATGTCCATTTTTTAAATTCAAATTCGAACTTTCGGTTCTACGAGATGGGCTTTTTAAAAAATTCGGCATTCAGTTTTTTTTATGCTTTTGAGTGTCTTCTTTCAAAATCTGTAAGAAAATTTCATTTTGGTCTTCATGATAAAAAGTTATAATTATTTAAACACTCAAAAAACAGTTTTTTTTTTAATTTAAAATTAGATTTTCTAATCGAAATCGGATGAAATCCAAAACACCAAAAAATCGCGTCTAAAATGTTCACTGAAAAAAAGGTTTGGTATCAGCAACCAAATATTTGGTTGGTATTTAAGCAACCAACATTTTTTTTGTTGAATCAAAAAAATTTTAGTTGTCCCAATCAAATTTTAGTTAGGACAACAAAAATACTTTTTTTCTAATTTTGGTTGTGTCAAACAAATTTTGATTGAGACAATTAAAATTTTGTTGATTTAACAAAAAAAATTTTGGTAGCTTAAATACCAACCAAACGTTTGGTTGTCAATACCAAACCCTTTTTTCAGTGTTGGGACAATCAGATAGGCATGATAACAAAAACAAAAAATTATTTAATCACTTCAAAAACCGGGTTGTTTTTTTGTATAAACAATTATAACTTTTTTTCATGAATACCAAATTGAAATTTTCTTACAGATTCTGAAAGAGGACACTCAAAAACAAAAAAAAACTGGATGCCGTATTTTTTAAAAAGCCCAACTCGTACAACGGAAAGCTCGAATTTGAGCCAAAAAAAAAACGGACATTTAGGACTAAATGCGTTTAAAAAATAATTATTTAACAAAAGATTTTGAATTAACATCGTTTTTCTGCAACAAGATCTTTTAAATTTTATTGCAATTAATTTTAATTATAATTTATTTCGTTTGCTTTAAATGGTTAAAAATCAATTTCCAGTTTTGAGGTTATATTAACGTGTACCATTCCTCCTAAAGATTTAAAAAAAAATTTTATTTAACCCTTTAATTGCAACATTACACCTCAGTCTGTTTGTTTTAATTTTAAATATCTATAAACGTGAGGGAAATCTTTTTATATCAATATTTTTCAATAATAATTTTTTGTTGTAAAAATTGTCCTCAGTAATTTTAATTTAGTGCTATACACATTTTTCAGTATACTTAAATTCAATTTTTGGCTATATAATCTATATGATCTTTTAAAGTAAGCTTTTAAGAAGTATCAAATTAATTTTCAAATTAATGTTTTAACTTAAGAGCTCAATTTTTTTTTTTGGCTTAAACCCTTTATTTTGGGGTAAAAATAAAGTACCTAAATTTAGTACTTCGAACTCGTACCAGAATTTAAGAATTTTTTAAGAAATAGGTGCATTAAATCAGTTTCTTTGCGAATTGCGGCCTTTCATGACATTTTAGCATAAAAATAGTTATTATAAAAAAGAAAGTGCATAAAATTCTGAGTAATTTGCTAAACAAATGAACCCTATAGTTAAGGTCAATAAATCCTTAATATCTCGAAATCTTTGTTAAGTTGAAAACTCGTTAACTCGAAGTTAAATTGAAATTTTAATTTCCCTTGAAATTCGAATTATCAAGGTTCTACTGTATTATATAAGTGCTTTTAATACTGCCGTATTAAATCATCCCACATAGCACAACTTCTTGCTGTGAGGTTATTGTAAGGATATCTGTAGGGTTTGTAAGGTTACCGTGTAAGCCTACAGTAAACTTGAGGTCATCTTAAAACTTCCGCCATTACAGTAAGCTTACACAGTAAAGCTAAGGTAAGCTTACACGGTAAGGTTGTTGTAAGCTTCCCGTAAGGTTACTGTAAGGTTGCTGTAAGGTTACTGTAAACATAGAGTAATATGAAAATATATTAAAAATAATTATATTATAAATTTTTTTTATAAAAAATTATATATTTGGTAAAATACTTCATGAACCCCAATAGAATTTGTTAAATGAAATTTACTGCGCAGCCGTATGTGCCATAGAAAACTACTGCGCATAAATATTAATAAAATTTATTTATTAATAATATTCTATGTTTACAGTAACCTTACAGCAATCTTACAGTAACCTTACGGGAAGCTTACAACAACCTTACCGTTTAAGCTTACTACAACCTTACCATGTAAACTTACCACGACCTTACTGTGTAAGCTTACATTTACTTTTTCTGTGTAAGTTTCTGAGGGATTCCACGGGTAAAACGAACAGTTGTCGGTGAAAAGTTATCGATTTGGCTCAAATTTTTTAGGCGTATTCTACCTCTAAAAATACTCAACTAGCCAAAATTTCAAGCCCCTATCTCATAAAGAACACTCACAATCGTAAATTTCGTGAAAAGTGACATCTTTCAAAATGAAGATTGAAAAATCCATTTCTTCTCGAAAAAATGTTAATTTTGGTCAAAAAAAAAATTGGAAAGATACTAGTCGATGGGAAATTTTCCAAAGAATCCAATGCCGTTGGAATTTTTGACCTATCTCTAAACGCATGCGCAGTAGATTAAAAAAACTGATTTTTTTAAAAAAATTCATAACTCAAAATGACCTATTTCGATTTGGCTCTAATTTTCAGGAAAGACAGCTGAAAAGCTATACTTTAAAATGGTTATACCTAAAATTTGCATATTTTGAGTTTTTAACCATTTTTATGCAAAATAGTGAGCTAATTCAAATTTTTTCAAGGTTTCCTTACAGTATTTGCTTTTTTGTGCGCGTGCGCAGTTATATAGACAAAAACTAAGCTCAAATTAAAAATCCTCGAAAAATTTCCAATCAGTTATCTATATTAACACTTCATTTTTATTTATTCTAAACAAATTTTAACAGAAAAAACAAATACAAGTTATAATTAAGAACGATATTTTGTACTTTGTTTATAATTCTTTGTACAAAATATCGTTCATCAAAAATTAATAATTTCCCAAACTGAAAAAAATGTTAAGTTAAAAAAACAAACGTAAAAAATAAATTTTTTTTAAATACTCTCATATTTGTAATGCTCTTAATTATAACTTGTATTTGTTTTTTCTGTTAAAATTTGTTTAGAATAAATAAAAATGAAGTGTTAATATAGATAACTGATTGGAAATTTTTCGAGGATTTTTAATTTGGGCTTAGTTTTTGTCTATATAACTGCGCACGCGCACAAAAAAGCAAATACTGTAAGGAAACCTTGAAAAAATTTGAATTAGCTCACTATTTTGCATAAAAATGGTTAAAAACTCAAAATATGCAAATTTTAGGTATAACCATTTTAAAGTATAGCTTTTCAGCTGTCTTTCCTGAAAATTAGAGCCAAATCGAAATAGGTCATTTTGAGTTATGAATTTTTTTTAAAAAATCAGTTTTTTTAATCTACTGCGCATGCGTTTAGAGATAGGTCAAAAATTCCAACGGCATTGGATTCTTTGGAAAATTTCCCATCGACTAGTATCTTTCCAATTTTTTTTTTGACCAAAATTAACATTTTTTCGAGAAGAAATGGATTTTTCAATCTTCATTTTGAAAGATGTCACTTTTCACGAAATTTACGATTGTGAGTGTTCTTTATGAGATAGGGGCTTGAAATTTTGGCTAGTTGAGTATTTTTAGAGGTAGAATACGCCTAAAAAATTTGAGCCAAATCGATAACTTGTCACCGACAACTGTTCGTTTTACCCGTGGAATCCCTCTTCTGTAATGGCGGAAATTTTAAGATGACCTCAAGTTTACTGTAGGCTTACACGGTAACCTTACAAACCCTACAGATATCCTTACAGTAACCTCACAGCAAGAAATGGTGCTATGTTGAGATGTTAATAACAAAATTTGTCAATTATAGTGGGAGAGAAAAAATAATTTACGCCGTTTCGAAGGATCGTCAAGTATTTCATCGGCAGATTATTTTGGCACTGGTCAATCGAATCCCACATCGCCCACATCGTCATCATCATCATTGTCAATGAATTTTGAAGGTCGCGTTGATCTTGAAGATGTACGCGAAAGTGTACGACAAGGTGTAAATAAAGTAGCGGGTAAATTAAGCTCTCTCGCTAATGCAGCAGTTTCTTCAATTCAGGACCGTTATGGACTCTAAACATATTTAAAAATAAAAATAAAATAAAATTGTCATAAAATATTGTTAATTAAAAAAAAAAAAAAAAAATTTCTTATACGTGTTATTCTATTGAACTGTAAATAAAAGCTTCCGAGAGGAAAACAAAAATCTCTCAACTGTTTTTAGGGTTATAATAAATAAAGAGTTCTGTAAAATTGTAAATTTATATTTTTTTATTTTTTCCAAAAAAAATGAATTTAGATCTAATTAAAATTTACCTTTTTTTTTTATTAAAATCAACGAGGAATAATTTAACAGGAATTTTTTTTTTTGGAAATATTTTTCCTTGGATCATAGCTTTTCGATTATCTTAACTATATATATATAGTACATATCACAAATTTTACTCGTGTATCTAGATTTTGCACGACGGATTTAACAATGTATAATCGAATCTTTTGATTTGTAAAAGAGAAAAAAAAACAGGATATAGAGATTTAAAAAATATATATAGGACAATAACAAGTTAGTTAACAACGAGCAATTAAAAAAAAAAAAATTTCTATAAATATAATGTGTAAATAGCGCGCGAATTATTTTTTTTTATTGTTATATGCAACTCTCGAGAATTGTTGAGGCATCGCCTATCGAATTGAAAACTGATTCAGCTGGTGGTTGTTGGCATTTAGTGACTAGATGTGAATATGGTTTTCCATGAAGTAAACATACAAGAACAACGGTCATATTGTCGCAACCAATTTCCATTAATACATCAGGCGCTAAACAATGTTTCAATAATTCCTCACATATTTCTTCGGGATCAACAAATTTTTGTTCTTGATCGCCATCAATTTTTTGCTGACATGCAGCTAATCTACTTCTCACAAATTTCACTACATCTTGATTTTTCATTACATCCCAAATTCCATCGCAAGCCAATATTAAAAATTCCCAATCTTCTGTTAATTCAAATTCTTTTACATCAGGAAGCACTAAAATGCGAGAAAATAAATTTTGAAAAATCATTAAATTATTTATTAATTATTATTATTATTGAAATTTTATTCAATTACCAGTGACTATTTGTTCCTCTTGAGTTTTACGATTATTTTGTTTAAACATAAAATCCCCAAATGCACGTGACAATGCCAAATGTCGATTGACTCTTCCCAATTCGACCCAACCACCTGCAGCTTCGATACGCTTTTTTTCAAGTACCAAATTTGGCTTGTGATCTAGACTCAAAGGAACAGAATGTCCACGAACACAAGCGACCGCTCTACTATCGCCTGCGTTCGCCTAAATTATTTAAAGGAAAAAAAAAACAATTTTTTTTTTACCAATTTAAATTTTTGTAAACCCATTAATGCCCGAAATCTTAAAATTCTTTGTACATTTTTAAGCTGTGTTATTATGAATAAAAGGTTATTATTCTACGTTTTCTATAGGTATGAGTGTTTTTTCGATTTCGGCGTCAAAAATAAATTTCGAGAAAGCCAAAACTAAATATGGCGGTTTTAATAACAAAAAACACAAAAAAAATTTCATTTATTCAAGATTTTTTTTTCACTCAGAAAAAGTGTAAGAATAAAATTCTTCTTTCAACTATGAATGCATAAAAATTGTATACTTTCTGGAAACGTAAAGCAGAATTAAAAATTTCCAGATGGCGGACCCAATATGGCATCAAATCCATTGTAAAATTTTAAAAGTTTGGTATATATTGTTTAAATTGGAGCGCATGATTATATTTCATAATGTGAATCATATAGAAATTTCATTTTATAGAATTTTATAAGATAGAACTAGCAAAATTAAACGCGCGCAAGCGCGCCAAATTGAATACTTCATTATTTGTTATAAAGAAATTAAAGATTAATATTATCAATAATAATTTAATTTATTAGAATATTATTACATATTAAATAATAATAATGAAAATGATATGTTTACAAGCCTCGGATTATACGACTTTTTCCGACTTTTTTCAAAAATACGACTTTTATCGACTTATTTTAATAAAATGCGACATTTTTTTTTACATTTGAAAAAAAATGTAAATAAAATACATTTTTTTAGTATAAAATGTAGATCTTCTTCAGATCTTCTACAATTCAATTAATTAACAAATTTTGAACTAAAATGATTCTTCACTAAATTAATTATTTTTAATAATTTTAATTAAATACATCACAAATTCAATTATATCAAAATTATTTTTAAATTAAAATTTTTATGAAATTTAACAATTGTTTATAATTTAAAAAAAAATCTATCACAATAAAATTGAATTATTTTTTAAAAATTTTAATTCAAAATAAACTAAAATTCAATTATTACCCGAAATTTTAATACAAAATCAATTAAAAAACCAATAATTATCAAAAATTTTCAATTTAAAATTGAATGATTTACCAAGTTTTCAATTTAAAATGAAATAAAATTCAATTATTTTCTAAAATTTCTATTCAAAATTAATTATCCAAATTTTCAATGAAAAATGAACTTCAATTAAATTATTATCCAAAATTTCAATTAAAATTCAATTATTTTCCAAAAATGTTTAATTTAAAATCAAATTAAATTTAATTATTCTCAAAAATTTGAATTCAAAATTAATTGAATTTTCAATAATTTGAATTTAAAAGCATCTAAAATTTAATTACCTATTTCTAAAATTGTCCATCGAAATTTTTTTTTTGAAATTTAATAATTTCAATTATAACTCTAAGGAAATTTAATTATTTTTAACTATTTTAATAATATTCTTTGAAAATTCAACTATCTGAAACCATTTTTCAATTAAAAATGATTTTCAAATTATTGTATTTTTTCCGCATTTTCTAATAAATTTTTAGTGAAATCATCTAAAATTTTAATTAAAAAAAATCACTTAAAGTTTCAATTAATTTCAAAAATCTCAATTTTAAATCTTTGAAAATTCAATTAAATTTAAAAAATGTTTTCCAAAAATTATTTGATAAATTATTTTTAGTTCTGTAAAATTTAATAATTGTTTGAAAATTAACAATATCTTTTGAAATTTAATTATTTCTAAAAATTTCAACTTTAACCCTTCGAAAAGGATTATTATTTTAAAAAAAAATTTTTATTTAAAAATCTGTAAAATATTTTTGTTAAAATAAAAAACAAATCCACTTTTTTTTGGAATATAAATCGACTAAAACGACTTTTTTGTGTCTTTAAGTTGATTCGTGGCCTGTGTTTTTATAATTAATATTTAATAGGTATTTGTTGGCCCCTGGTACCTTAAAAATTAATTTTTAAAAATTAATTTTTTTCAAATTACTATCTTGTACGAAATTTCCTGGCGCATCTTTTTTCTCATCATAAATTTTTTGTATTTGTATACAATTTTTGAATGAATATACAACTTTAAAAAAATTTTCGTTGGTAAACGTTGTGTACTTCAGCTTCGTGAATTGAATTTTCGAATTTGGAATTTTAAAGAAACTTATTCCGAAATTTGGAAACACAATTATACAACTTTGGCAAAAATAAGAAAAAGAATTGTCAAAATTTGACACGTCATAAGATTACTATTCAAAAAAACACGTGAAATCAAAAAAGGTCAACTTCAAGTTAGGACAGAAGGACAGACCAAGCATTTTATTATTATTATTATTATTATATATAATTTTACTTTATTCAAATTTGTGTTTTTCGAATTAATGTTTAATAGAATTTAAATTAACTAGAATTTATACTTAACAAAATATTCTTTCAACATAATTTCCATTTAGCTCACTTTTTTTTAAAAGAATTTTTCTTAACATGAATTTTTATTTATCAGAATTGTTATTAAACAGAATTTCGCCTGAGTCGAATTTTTAAATGCCAGAATTTAGTAGAAAACTGAAAACTTAGAATTTTCATTTATTCTACATTCCAAATGATCGAATATTCAAACGGCAGAAATATTTCGGCGCCAATTTTAAAATTGACCAAACAGAAAATGTTAAATAAAAATTTGATTATATAAAAATTCTGTTGAGTTTAAATTCTACTATTCTACTTCAGCTCTATTAAACATTAAATTCGAATAAAAATTAAATAAAATTAAATTAAAAATTAAATAAAAAAAAATTAAATTAAAATTAAATTAAATTTAATTTAATTAATTAAATTAAATTCTATAAAATGAAATTTCTAAATGATTCACATTATGGAATAATCATGCGCCCCTTCAAATTGCCAAAATATCAGAACTTGTATGTTTTCAGGGTCGCTGATTACGAATTCGATGTCAGTTTTTTAAAATTCAAAATGGAGGATCCAATATGGCGGAGAATAAATTTAAAAATTCATTCAATTGGTCTGAAATTTTGTTACCCGAGGGTTTTCGGGGTCGCTGATTACGAATTTGAAGTCCGTTTTAAAAAATTCAAAATGGCGTATCAAATATTTTGAACGAAAAATTTTAAAAGTCATTAAATGCCCTAAATCTTGTCTCTCGAAGGTTTTTGAGGTCACTGATGACAAATATACAGTTACTTCTTTAGTTGTGAATAAAAGACAACTGCTAAGCGGAGTTGATTACTAAAAAGAAAGTTGAAATAGGTACTTTTTTAGTAATCGGCGTCGTTTAGCAGTTGTCTTTTATTCCATCTGAAGAAGTAACTGCATATTTGTCATCAGTGACCCCAAAAGGCCCCGAGAGACAAGATTTAGGCCAATTTAATGACTTTAAATTGTTGTGTCCGCCATATTGGATCTGTCATTATGAATTTTTGAAAACAATCATCCAATTCGCAATTATCGACCCCGAAAATCTCCGGGTAACAAAATTCATGCCAATTGAATGCGTTTTTTAATTTCTTGTCCGCCATTTTGAATTTTGAAAAACTGACATCGAATTCGTAATTTTGGCAATTTAACCCTCTCTCTGTCCTAGTGATCGTTATCGACAAAAAACGACAATTCGGTCGCCAGGTGGGGACTATGGAAAATACATTCTATAGCGCTGGAGTGGGGATAACCCAGTACAGGGAGAGGGTTAAACAATATATACCAAAATTTTAAAATTTTACAATGGATTTGATGCTATTTTGTGTCCGCCATCTTAAAATTTTTAATTCTGATTTACGTTTTCAGAAAGTATACAATTTTTATTCTTGAAAATGTACAAAGAATTTTGAGAAATTTTGGTCGTTAAATTCCAATTGGTCCTCAGGATATTTATTAAATTTTTTAACAGTAATCTAAAAAAAAAAAAAAACTATTAAAAATCAACTTACACTGTAAAGAATGTTATCTTTAATAAGTAAAGTGATGGCAGTTGAACCGGCTTGTTTCTCTCTTAAAATTGACTCATGCTGCATATCTTTGTCCAATTCCAAAAAAGCTTTTTGTATCGCTAAACTTATATTTCCATTTTGATACTCAATTCTGTTTGTTATATACTCGTGAAGATGTTTACTTATGTGTTGTGAAATTGCTGCTCCTAAAAATGAGACACAAAAACATGAAAATAAAATTCATGAATTTAAAAACGCCCGGCATTCTCCTAAATCGGTATTCTTGATAAAATAATATTCAGTTAAATAAGATAATTTAAAATAAAAATTTTGTTAAAGAGAAATTCGGTCAAATAAACATTTTTTTTTTTACCTAAAAATGCCTTTTAAGTAAAAGAATTTCTATTTCACCGAAACTGTATTTTGACCGAACTTTCACTTTTCCGAATTTTTATTTTTTATTTGACAGAATTTTTTTTATCCGAATAAAAACTCGACCGAAATAATTTAAGTGGAAATTTTAAAATCAACGAATCATAATTTTTTTTTTTTAACAATGTTTGATTGGTTAATTTAAAAAATTTCCACTTAAAATATTTCGGCCGAGTTTTTTTTTATTCGGATAAATAAAAATTCGTCTTTTTAAAAGTTTTAAAAAAATAAAAATTCAGACAAGTGAAATTTCGGTAAAAGTTTCTTACTTATAAAAATTTAGTTGACTTGAATTTATCTTTAATATAATTAGATTAAATACAAAAATTTAGTTTAAGTGATTTGGTTAAATAGAAATTGTCTGTTAAATAAAATGTAGTTGGAATAAAAATTTTCTTTAAAAAAAAACTGTTTTTTTTTTTTTTTTTGTATAATTTCTTTTAAATAGAAATTTCCTTAAATAAATTCTGTTAAATTGAAAATTTTTAAGCAATACCGTAAAATGGGGTAAAGTCGGCGTTTGGGGGTAAAGTCGGCCGGCGCTTTAAATCATTTTAAAGTTTAACTATTACTTTTTTCCAGAAGAAATCCGAGTTTTATTAAAAATGTAGTTAGAATTAATGTAAATTAATAAATAAAATACAATATTTAAGTGTTTAAAGCGCCGGCCGACTTTACCCGCAAACGTCGACTTTACCCCATTTTACGGTATTAAATATTTTGATTTTAATGTTTGTATAAATAAATTTTTACCCCCATGCCCATCGTAAACACCAAAGAATGCAGTTCCTGGATCATCAGGTAGAGAAAGAATATGAACGTGACTATCTTCCATGCTCACACGCCATCCTTGCATACTTGAACTTCCCACTCGAAAATTATCATTTCTACAACAAGCCGTCTTCTTTGTCGTCACTGGTTCACTCAAAGTTTGGCCCATTGTAAATTTTTAATATTCTGCTTTTTTTTTACAATAAAATTTTTAATTATAAAAAAACTTTCGAAATAATTTTATACAAAAATTTTTTTTTCTCATTTTTATTACACTTTAATAGAGGTGCAATTTTTCAAAACTTGCTATTTTTTTGCAAACATAATTTTTATACATAATTCAACATATTATTTATTAATATTAATAAATAAAAATTTTTTTTTTAAATTTATCAGATTTTGAAAAATTGCTCCTCAATTACGGCGCAAAAAATGAATAAAAAAATAAAAAATGAACAAAATTATAAAAGAGCAACACAGAAAAATACAATTATTATAATCAAATATTCAAAATAGTTTAATCCAATATTAAATAATTTAATTTAAGCGCAGAAAAATAGAAATGACATTTTAAAAAAAATTATAAAATATAAATTAAATATATTAATAACAATTTTTTAATTTGATTAAAAAAAAACAAATTTTATTAAAATAAATAAAAAATTTATAAATATAAACTCTTTTTTTTCTTAAAAGTGCAAATCCTATTTAAATTAAAATGATTTTTAAAAATAACTTTTTTTTAAATATCAATTTTTAAAACTTACTATTTCAATGAAAACAATTTTTTTTTCAATAATTAATACATTTGCTATTGTTTTTGTAAACAAAAATGACATTTATAAATGTTTACCTGATGTAGATTTAATATATAAACAATTTTCTTACGGCCTTTGACCTACCTTCTGTCATTAACCCAATTAAAACTATTTTTAAATTGAAGAACCTAACCTTTTTTATTTTGTATAGTTTTAAAGACCGCACTTCAGTTTTTAAATTATCTGACATTATTTTTATTTATGATAAAAAGAAAATTTTCAATTTATAAAACAAAACTAACGAACTTACCCATGAATAATTTAAATTTTTTCATTCACTAAATTGTCGAAAAAAAAAAATAATTCACAAATTTGTTGGGTAAATTGAATTTTTATTTTTGTAATAATAAAAAAATATTAGATATCAAGAATTCTTAAAATCCATTTAAATGTAATGAACTAAAGAAATCTATATAGATTGGTAATCGAAGATGAACTTTTCGCACTAAAGCTGAATCTACATTGGCTACAAAAAGGCGAACGTGAACGTGCTGACGTCACAATGCTGCGCAAACAATGGCCGTTTCCAAATTGGGATTTTTGTCGCGCGGAAAAACAAGGACACTGCATATTTCACGAGTATACACTTTTCTCGAAACATAATGGACACTTTTTATAAAATTGGACAACATACTAATGGAGCGGTCACACCTCGGCTGCAGGAGCAGTTGCCCATGGCAACCGTGTAAGAGTAAGAGAGATAGAAGATTTGCCATCTCTCTTACTCTTACACGGTTGCCATTGGCAACTGCTCCTGCAGGCGAGGTGTGACCGCTCCATAATGCTTCTCCGAACTCCATGGCCGTTTCCGAATTGAGATTTTTAGCGCAGTATATTCTTTATCAAAAGTGCTCTACAAATCCCAATTCGGAAACGGCCCATGAATTGTTGACACAACCTTAGGGTGTTTTCGAGATCCGTGCTGTCAGGCTGCAGTCCCATGGCAGCGTTTTGTACGGAAGCGCCTACGAGTCACCAGCGAACTATCTTGTTCGCGTCACATTTTTAGCTGTGAAACCGAGGAACGCGTTCGATGGTTTCGCTGTTTCCTTGTTTTTGAGTGACGATAAAACACACTATACGGTTCGATGGTTCTCTGGTTTTACTTAGTTCTATCGTTATCGAAGTCTAAATTTTGTATTAAAAAAATAAATTTAAATTTAAAAACCGAAATATAATAATATATTTAAATTATATATTTGAGATATATCAGATATCTTATAATGTGTGCCTAAAAAATTATTTTATTTAAAAATAATAGTACAAAATATTAATAGTATAGTACAAATATAAAATGCAAACAAATCAACTTACTTCAAAATAATATTTTGTACTATTATTTTTAAATAAAATAATTTTTTAGGCACACATTATAAGATATCTGATATATCTCAAATATATAATTTAAATATATTATTATATTTCGGTTTTTAAATTTAAATTTATTTTTTTAATACAAAATTTAGACTTCGATAACGATAGAACTAAGTAAAACCAGAGAACCATCGAACCGTATAGTGTGTTTTATCGTCACTCAAAAACAAGGAAACAGCGAAACCATCGAACGCGTTCCTCGGTTTCACAGCAAAAAATGGGACGCGAACAAGATAGTTCGCTGGTGACTTGTAGGCGCTTCCGTAGTTTTGCGTTACGTTTTGTCACTAGACCCTGAGTGTAAACATAGCAAACATATATCTGCATCTCTTTTACACTCATGGTCTAGTGACAAAACGCTGCCATGGGACTGCAGCCTCAGCGTGCTGATAGTATGAAACGGTTCTCAACCACTTTCTGACTGAGTTTTGTAATCGCACCTATGAATGTCACTTTAAAATATGCACCTAACCAAACCTCGACGGCCATTTTTCGATATTTTTATAATTCAGGAGAAGAGAAAATATTTTGGAGGCGACAAAATGAGTATTTCTTAAATTTGTTATTTTTGCAAATGAATATTGGGCCATATTGTTCTTAAATAAAAATTGTTCAATATGTACATGTGAAAAAATAAGTTTTAAACAATATTTTAATTAAACTTTTATTTCACTAAATTATAGTTTCAGCTTTACCCTCTCCAAAATATTTCACGAAAATATTTTGGAGGCAACCGCTGTTTTCCAGTTCAAACAATTTTTTAAATAAATTTTGTAATTATTATCGTGTAAGAAATATAGTTTCAATTATAATTGCATTAAATTAAAATAATATAATTTGAAATTCTTTGATATTTTTATAATTCAGGAGAAGAGAAAATATTTTGGAGGCGACAAAATGATTATTTCTTAAATTTGTTATTTTTGCAAATAAATATTGGGCCATATTGTTCTTAAATAAAAATTGTTCAATATGTACATGTGAAAAAATAAGTTTTAAACAATATTTTAATTAAACTTTTATTTCAATAAATTATAGTTTTAGCATTTCCCTCCAAAATATTTTTCGAAAATAATTTGGAGGCAACCGCTGTTTTCCAGTTAAAACAATTATTTAAATAAATTTTGTAATTATTGTCGTGTATGAAATACAGTTTCAATTATAATTGCATTAAATTAAAATAATATAATTTGAAATTTTTTGATATTCTCACAATTCAGGAGAAGAGAAAATAGTTTGGAGGCGAAAAAATGATTATTTCTTAAAAATGTTATTCTTGCAAATTAATATTCAACCATATTGTTCTTAAAAAATATTTGTTTAATATGTACATGTAAGAAAATAATTTTTTAACTAAACTTTATTTCAATAAATTATAGTTTTAGCACATCCCTCCAAAATATTTCGCGAAAATAATTTGGAGGCAACCGCTGTTTTCCAGTTCAAATAATTTTTTAAATAAATTTTGTAATTATTATCGTGTAAGAAATACAGTTTTAATTATAATTGCATTAAATTAAAATAATATAATTCATAATTTTTCGATATTTTTATAATTCAGGAGAAGAGAAAATATTTTGGAGGCGACAAAATGATTATTTCTTAAATTTTTTATTTTTGCAAAAGAATTTGGGCCATATTGTTCTTAAATAAAAATTGTTCAATATGTACATGTGAAAAAATAAGTTTTAAACAATATTTTAATTAAACTTTATTTCAATAAATTATAGTTTCAGCTTTTCCCTCCAAAATATTTCACGAAAATATTTTGGAGGCAACCGCTGTTTTACAGTTAAAACAATTTTTTCAATAATTTTTGTAATTATTGTCGTGTATGAATTAAAGTTTCAATTATAATTGCATTAAATTAAAATAATATTATTTGAAATTTTTTCATATTCTCATAATTCAGGAGAAGTGAAAATAGTTTGGAGGCGAAAAAATGATTATTTCTTAAATATGTTATTTTTGCAAATGAGTATTTTATTTCTCTCAATTATAAAACATTTGTTAACGTTTTTAAAAATTTTAAATTGAGGATTAATGCCTTGGAACCGCAAAATCTTCGTCGCCTTCCATATTTCAAATACTGGACTGTCTGTCACGTGTTACTGCTGCGATGCTGCGAGTAAAAAGACAAAGCGTGCTATCAGCACACAAGCGTAGTGTAGGCACAACATTTTTCACAAAATTCCTAGAACTTTTTTCTCAATAACACCAGAAATTAAAGCCTGTTTCATATACACGCGCTTTTAATATGTAATTGACCAATCATAAGAAGTTTTCAAAAAAATTCGTTAAAAATCAGTTGAGAACCCCTTCGTTCTCACAGCGTGCTGACAGCACGGATCTCGAAAACACCCTTAATTACATGTGTCACAATTCGAACGTTCCTAAGCAATTCATTCTTCTTCAACCTTGTTTTTAATCTAACTTTGTATTTCGAGATTCAATTATCTTCAATTCGATATTCTCAATCATGTTAGAAAAAAAGTTAGTGTAAAAAAAAAGAGAAGGATTTGCTTTCAAGTCTTTTGGAATTAGATGAAAAGCCAATCGTGAAAAATATACATGTAGACATACGTTCTCATGTATTCTTGCTAGAAGGACCGGTTTGTCATTTACCCCTCAAACAAAATATCGTGATTTCGTTTTCGTATTAAATAAGTAAAAAAAAAATAATTTTTTTTTCGTTCATCATCCAGCCAACTTATAAAAATCCAGTTCCTTTCTGATTTCTTTTTAAGAATATATATATATAAAGATCTCATTATTTTCATATTCATATATATATATATACACTATCATCTATAAATTAGTCAATTTTTTTAGCAAAATGCCAAATAAATTGACCTTGGAGGATGTAAGTAGTTTGCGCGTATTCGAATCTTGACGTGTGTCGATTTGTTAATTAAAAAAAAAAAAAAACAAAACGAAAACAACAACAAAAATCGCTCATGTTTAATTTTTTTCAGTTCCCGATTTTAAGTAGAATATCAAATGTGAGATATAGAGATAAAGATGCCGTAATTAAAAAAATAAATAATATCATTCGTGATGGACCTGAAAAATTGCAGGTATATATACATATATATATTGATTTATTTTTATCACTTGTCAAATTGTGGAATTTTATACTTAGAATGTCACTTTTGATATCTATATATGGGACGTTTCATGTGAAATTTTCGTTCAAAAATTTTTTTCTCAATGAAACATTTTTTTTTCAAAAATAAATATTTAATTTTTTTTTTTTTTTTTAATTTTTTAAAATTTTAAATAATTTTATTTAATAATTAATTTTTAAGTAAATTATTATTTGAATATCATGAAAAACTTGATAATTTCTTAAAAAATTAATTTAATTTTTTCAAATTATTTTGAAATTGAACATTTGACATTTCATACCTCAAGTTTGACAAATTATCTCACAAGAAAAATGACAATCGGCATTGATTTTTTGCATTAGAAAAGATGCAATATATATGAGGCAAAATTCCTGAAATGTCCGAACAAAAAATTAAAAGTTCTTTGAATTTAATCCATACTTTTCTAAAATGTTGTTATTGTTGGTGAAAGTCTAAAAATCAATTATTATTGCATTTAATAAAATAGTTTTTGAATTACAACGTTTTTAATTTTTGACTTTTGAAAAAAAAAATTTTTTTTCAATGTACAATATTTATAAGTAGAATGCATAAAAGTTAACATATATCTAATGATTTTTAAAGCTTTTTTGACGGGCTACACGCTGTTAATAAATTTTTTTTTTTTAAATAACATTTTACCTTGAAATTCAAGGTCAAAATGTTAATTTACGTTTATCTCAAAATCGGATTTTTTAAAATTATTTTTAACTATCTCAATGGAAAGCTTGACTAATTTCCTACAAAACATGTAATTTTCAGAGTGGGATCTTTTAAAGTTTTTGAGTTATTAATTAATTAATTAATTAATGTTTATAACAAATCAAATATTTTACAAACGAATAAAGTTACCGTAATTCTGAAGTTAGCAATTGAAACTTAACATAATTCCGCATCCAACGAGCCCTGTATGAAGTATTTTGGATAAGTAGATTGTTAATAAACAATTAGTTAACATTGCAATTGTTTATTAACAATCTACTTATCCAAAATACTTCATATAGGGCTCGTTGGATGCGGAATTACCTTAACTTTCAATTGGTAAGTTCAGAATTACCATAACTTTATTTGTTTGTAAAATATTTTATTTTTTACTAACAACAAGCATCCAAAAGCCCTATATGAAGTATTTTTGTTCAATTTTAGTTAAATAACAATAAAAAATGAAATATCTTACAAACAAATAAAGTTATCGTAAATCTAAACTAACCAATTGAAAGTTAAGCTAATTCCGCATCCAACGAGCCCTATATGAAGTATTTTGGATAAGTAAATTGTTAATAAACAATTGCAATGTTAACTAATTGTTTATTAACAATCGACTTATCCAAAATACTTCATACAGGGCTCGTTGGATGCGGAATTATGTTAAGTTTCAATTGCTAACTTCAGAATTACGGTAACTTTATTCGTTTGTAAAATATTTGATTTGTTATAAACATTAATTAATTAATTAATTAATATCTCAAAAACTTTAAAAGATCCCACTCTGAAAATTACATGTTTTGTAGGAAATTAGTCAAGCTTTCCATTGAGATAGTTAAAAATAATTTTAAAAAATCCGATTTTGAGATAAACGTAAATTAACATTTTGACCTTGAATTTCAAGGTAAAATGTTATTTAAAAAAAAAAAAATTATTAACAGCGTGTAGCTCGTCAAAAAAGCTTTAAAAATCATTATATATATGTTAACTTTTATGCATTCTACTTATAAATATTGTACATTGAAAAAAATTTTTTTTTTCAAAAGTCAAAAATTAAAAACGTTGTAATTCAAACAGTATTTTATTAAATTCAATAATAATTGATTTTTAGACTTTCACCAACAATAACAACATTTTAGAAAAGTATGGATTAAATTCGAGAACTTTTAATTTTTTTTCGGACATTTCAGGAATTTTGCCTCATATAACGAAAATTATCAATTTTTCCTTGAAAACGCTATGATTATCAACTCCAAACATGCTCACTATATTTTTCTTATAATCTACACGTAAAAATATGTAAAAATGTATAAATTTGAAGCCCTTTAGATGAAAATTTTCTTCGTTTTTCGAAGAAAATTTATGATTTTTATCGAAAATTATTAGTTTTTTTCTTGAAAACGCTATGATAATCAACTCCAATCGTTCTCGCTATATTTTTTTTTTGTAATTTACATGTAAAAATGTATAAATTTGAATCCCTTAAGATAAAATTTTCTTCTTTTTTTATTCGAAAAATCCATGATTTTTTCTAAAAATATGAGTATTCCTTAAAAACAATATGATCATCAATTCTAATTGTGCGACCAGGTGGTCCAAAAATGGAAAAAAATAAAATTCAAATTTTTTAAAAACGCTATCCTGTAGGAAATGAAAATCCGCACCTTTTTTTCGTTGAGATTTTTTTATAAAACGAATATTAAAATTAATAGAGGTAAAAAAGTAGAAAATTTTTTTACGATAATTTAATGGACTTTTAAAACATAACTCGTCGTAATTTTGCTAAATATTAATGGATTTTTTTTTGAAATTTGGTGCATTTTATTCAGTGTATACTATTAAAGACGACAATCATAAAAAAAATCAAGAAAATTGTTATTATTTAATATTAAATAATAATAAAGTTTTAATTTTGAAAATATGTGTTTTTTAACCTTCTGTTGAAAAAGTTATCGAGGGAATTTTCATTCTGGAAAAACTTCTCGCGACAAAGTTTTTATACTTACATATTAAAGAAGTTTTTTCAAAAGTTTGGAATTAATTCTATAAAAAATAAAGAAGTTAAAAGGAAAATTGTGAAAAACTATTTTTCCTTATACTGCAGCTACACCTCACGGCTTAGTTTCTTCAGGGGCGTTCTTATTATATAATTCATCCTACAATCGATCATGCTAAATAATTTGGTATACAAATTTTTGATTTTACTAATAATGAAAAATTTTTGTATTCTATTTCTGTTAATAAACAAAAATATATCCAAAATACATATTAAGAATTATAATTATATTTGAAATCAGTATTTATACATTTTGAATAGGAAAAATAATAATTTTATTATACAATATGAAATAATAATTTATTATTTAATTTAAGAAATATATTTTTTATAACAAATAAATAATTATTTTTTTGATGTTCGAGTGTAGGGCGAATTATATAATTAGAACGCCCCTGAAGAAACTAAGCCGTGAGGTGTCATGGCTACTGCTGCAGTATAAGGAAAAATAGTTTTTCACTATTTTCCTTATAACTTCTTTATTTTTTATAGAATTAATTCAAAACTTTTAGAAAAACTTCTTTAAATATGTACCTAAGTAAAAACTTTGTCGCGAGAAGTTTTTCCAGAATGAAAATTCCCTCGATAACTTTTTCAATAGAAAGTTAAAAAACACATATTTTCAAAATTAAAACATTATTATTATTTAATATTAAATAATAACAATTTTCTTGATTTTTTTTTTATGATTGTCGTCATTAATAGTATAAACTGAATAAAATGCACCAAATTTCAAAAAAAATCCATTAATATTTGGCAAAATTACGACGAGTTATGTTTTAAAAGTCCATTAAATTATATCGTAAAAAAATTTTCTACTTTTTTACCTCTATTAATTTTAATATTCGTTTTATAAAAAAATCTCAAAGGAAAAAAAGGTGCGGATTTTCATTTCCTACAGGATAGCGTTTTTAAAAAATTTGAATTTTATTTTTTTCCATTTTTGGACCACCTGACTGATTGCAAGGCGGTTGCCTCAAGCGTAAGTCTCCTTTTAGAATCGGGATCTTCAAATGTCTTGGTAAAATAGTTTCAAAATTTTTGATTTTTCCTTGACAACGCTATGTAAATCGATCCGAATCATGTTCGCTATATTTTTCCTGTAATTTTCACGTAAAAATACATAAGTGTACCAAAATTAAGATCTCTATGTGAAAAAATGTGGCCACCAGGGGGGGGGGGTACATAGTAATTTTTAGGGATTTTTTAATCTGGGGTAAATGGGGACAAGAGGTTTTGGAGCTTAATTTACAGTTTTAAAATGAAGTTCAACGTCAATATTTTAACCCCATATCACCTGCAAGAGGTTTTGAGTATTGCCAAGCTTTTATTTTGACAATTGTCAGCAAGATAATTCAAGTTATCGCTCAATGCATAAAAACTTTAAAATCAAAGTCAAACTGTTTCAGTATTTTGTCTCGCATTTCAAAGAAAACAGACTTAAAAATCATACAAAATTTTTTTCTTATTCCTTATGACTTCCATAACAGAAATTCACTTGAATTTTTGATTTTTGTTAATTTGGTTAATAATGACAAGCTGTTTCCATTTACCCTGAATTTTCAAATTTTTGGGGTAAATGGGGACAGCTTGTCATTATTAACCAAATTAACAAAAATCAAAAATTCAATTGAATTTATGTTATGGGAGTCATAAGGAATAAGAAAAAAATTTGGTATGATTTTTAAGGGTAGGTCCTAGTAAGAGGCAGCACCACCTATATCGAAACTAAAATTTTGGAAAATTATTTACAGTATTTACTTAAAAGCAAGACAATAAAAAACATTTCACATGGAATGCCCCATGTAGCGGATTATTTCTCAATCGATCCAGTCAGAAACAAAAAGTTCCTGAATCGGCTTGATATTTATAAAAGAATAAAAAAATTCTTAAAAAATATTAACACATTTGAAAAGAAATTCAAAGAATTTGTTGAGGGTTGAAATTTTGAAATTTTACATTTAATTTTAACAAAAATTATAAAATGAAAATTGATTTATTGAGATATGTAATATATTTTTTTTTTACTTTTTCTGTTGAGGTAAAAATTCAATAATAATTTTTTATAGGTCGTCACTGACTTTGATTTGACATTGACGAAACAACACGTCGATGGCAAGGCCCATCTCAGCAGTTTTGGTAATTATAGAATTTCTTTATTTTTTGTGCATAGGACAAAAAAAAATTTTTTTTTTTTTTTCCTATGGAAGAATAAAGTTATAATTTTATTTTCTAAAAATAAATGAAAAAAAAAAATAAAGTATTTGAAAATTTTTAATAAAATTATTCAAATTTAAAAATTTTATACATTTTTTGAAAAAAATTGAAAACTAGTAAAAAATATATATATATATATATGACTGGATATTAAATTTAAATTTCAAATTTCTCGTTTCTTTGAACGTTTTGAATTTTGTAATATTATATATCGAACGGAGTATTATTTTCAAATATTCATTATGTAAAGTTGACTTGGAAATGACAAACAAAGAAAAACTGGTTCTTTTTATGTCGTCAATATTTAACTCTCAGAAATCAGTTTTTTCAAACGTTTTTATTAATTGATTTATTTTTATTCATATTTTTTTCTAACTAAAGATGAAAGAAATGACAATTTTATTATTTGAATTATTTTTTTTTGAGTTATTTTTGAAATCGTTTTTTGTTACAAAAATTATTATTATTATTATTATTATTACTATTGGATTAAGTATATACTGGGAAAAATATAATAAAGAAATTTGTAAAATTCACATGAAACTTTGACCTTCGCGTTCATGTAATTTGATTAATAGATTGACTATTCATTGCTTTCAATGCTGTCTCAGTTTCTCGATATCAGCTATTTGATAACATTTATATTATACTATCTTATTTTTTCATCAAGAAAAAGTGTTAATAGAAAATTGCAATAAAAAAAAATTAATAATTCTTTCATTATTAAAGTATTTCTGAGTATTTCTAAAGTATTTCTATCCTTTGCATAATAATTTAGGAAAAAAATAATTTATTTTTTACTTTTATTAAAATTAAAATTGAAACTTCTCTATCATAAATTTTGTTATAATTTTTAATTTAAAATTTTTTTAAGGGTTAATGTAAAAAAAAAAAAAAATAAAAATAGTAAATTAATTTTTATTTATTCAATACAAATAAATTTACATTACAAAAAAATGCGGAAAAAGTAAAAGTTTTAATTAATAAAAATTTGGAAAAGTTGAAAGTTTTTGTGAATTCCTATTTTGTAATCCATTAAAAAAAAGTTGAATATTATGTAAAAGAAATTTTTTTCGAAATATGTAATGTATTTAAAAATAGTTGTATCTTAATTTAGTTTTCTCGAAAAGCAAAAAAGAAAAAAAAAATTATATACCAATAACCCCAAAATTTTCTAACTTTAGAAAGATGCAAAGATGCAAGCAGTGTATTTTTAACTGTTTTTTTTTTAAAAGAAAAAAAAAACCCTCATCAAGTAGAATTTTTTTCTTTTAAAATAGTTAAATTTTAAAAATTAATTTTTAGAATATTACTTTAACAAAATTTTTTATTTTATTTTTTTATTTTTATTTTAAAGTATTTTATTAGAAATATTATTTTTTAAACGAATTTTCCATTTTTAAAATAAAATTTTGACAGATTTTCTTTTTATACGAATATTTTTTGCATTAACAACATTTTTAACTATCGAATTTTTGTTTGGCAGAATTTTTATTTTCTAGTCATTAGTCATAGGCTATTTGTAATTTCGGAAAAATGAAAATTAGGCGTCTTAAAAATTCGTCCAAATACAAAATTCGGACAAATTAATATTCGATTAATTGGAATTTCTGTCAATTAAAAAATTAAAATATTTTGGAATCACTTTAAAATTCAATTGAATGAGAATTCAGCTAAATTAAAATTCATTTAAATTTAAATTTTTTAAAAATAAAAAGTGACGAAAAGAAAATGATTATTATAATATAAAAATTCATTTTAAAAAAAATTCGGTAGCTAAAAATTTTGGTAAGTAAAAATTTGTTTAAAAAAAATAATTATTTTAAATACAATTTTTTAAAATGAAAATTCTTATTGTATTATTTTTATACTCTGGCAATAAAAATTTTAATTTTAATTTTTAATTAATTTCAATTCTGTCAAATTAAAATTTGAACAAATTAATTTTTTATTTATGTGCACTGAAAAAAAAATTTATTTGGATCAAATAAAAAGTATTTGATTCAAATACATCATTTACTAATTAATAAAATAAATTTATTGTATCAAATACTTTTTATTTGTATTGAGATTGTATTGATTGAAATATTTTTTAATTTGTCTTCATTAAATAGTGTATTAGTATTATAAATAATTTAGTTGACTTGAATCAATTAAATAAAGTTATTGTATCAAATACTTTTTATTTGTTTCAATAAAACAAAATATTTGAGTGAAATAAATAAATTAATTGTTTCAAGTAAATTATTATTATTGTTTCAAATAAATATTTAATTGATTGAAATATTTTTTTATTTGCCTTGATAAAATAGTGTATTAGCATTAAATAATGAATTATTTGTATTAAATAATTCAGTTTATTTAAATCAATTACATAAATTTATTGTGTCAAATACTTTTTATTTGTATCAAATAAACGAAATATTTGAGTGAAATAAATGAATGAATAGTTTCATGTAACTCATTATTTGTATTAAATAAATTCATTTAATCAATTCAATTATTTAATTGAACCAAATACGATTTATTTGGTTGAAATAAATGCGATTCAAATAATTCAAGTTATTTGAATCAAATACATTTTTTTTTTTTGATTCAAATAAAAAGTATTTGAACCAATTAAATATTTTTCCAATAATTTGAAGTATATGAATGAAATAAATTTTTTTTCACTGTGTCTCAGAAAAAGTAAAGTCAAAAATATTTCCAATTGTCTGTTTTCATTTATTCTTTAAAATAATTTTCAAATAAATTAAAATTTTTTTTATAATTTTCAGGCATATTCGCCAAATGTAAGCAATTACCACCAAAATATGAGGAAATGGATGTGAGAACGCATAAAAAATATCGTCAAATTGAAATTGATCCTCATATTCCAATTGAGGAGAAAATACGCGCAATGGAAGAATGGATGGAAATAAGTGAGGAATATCTTAAAGGTTATGAATTTGATCCAAGTGAATTGGAACAAGTTGCTGAAAAATATGGTACTGATTTACGTGAGGGTACAAAAAATTTAATGGATAAATTAAGTTCAGCAAGAATTCCAGTATTAGTATTTAGCGCTGGTCTTGGCGATGTTGTTGAGGCAATATTAAGGCACAATAATGTTCTTCTTGAGAATGTGGAAATAATTTCAAATTTCTTGAAATATACGGACAAAAAATTAGATGGTTTTAAGGGTAAAAAAATACATGTATTTAATAAAAATGAAACCGTCTTGGATAAGGAACATTTAAAACGTTTAGAAAATCGAAAAAATATTATTCTAATGGGAGACAGTGTCGGTGATACGACAATGTGTAATGGAATCAAAGATGTTGAAAATGTTTTTAAAATTGGTTTTCTTTATCACGAGAACAATGAAATTGTGGAAAAAAGTTTAAAGGACTATATGGATGTATTTGATGTTGTACTTATCGATGATCAAACCATGGATTTACCATGGTCGATATTGAAACGAATTATCTAATTTTTAGTCGGCAATTTATCTCCCTCTCTATTATTTTTCATTTTGAATTCTTCTTTTATTTTTCTCGTCTCTAACATCGAAACTTTTCTTTTTAGATATGATTAATCCTAATAATTTTTGCAAATTCAATCAGTATTTTTTTTTTTAAATTATTATTTCATTTTTCTGAAATAATAATTATACTTTCTGCGAAAGTAATTTTTTTTTTAATTTGAAATTGCTCAGCAATATTGAGTTATTGTGATTTTATAATAGGAAAATAATTATTGATAAATTGTAGAAAAATTGTTTTTTTAAAAATGAAACAATTTTTTAGCATCACTGCCATATGGGAGATTTAAAAAAAACAGTCCACGAAAAAAATGATATTAATATGCTATAAATTAATGCACATATTTGCAAGAACTTTTTTTTTTCTGATTATTTATTTTTTATTTCCATAGAGAAAAAGTGTTATCTATATACGAAGCGTGGAAATGTCGCACAAAATGAAAATTTGTTATCTTAAAATTATTGATTTCCTCGCAGAGAAATAATAAATATATTTTGAGCAAATCAAGAAACATTGTTTTATTATCGCCTTTGTTGTATACATATTTTTTTCAACACAAGATTAATTTAAAATACAACGAGAATTATAAAGTTAAAATCAAAATTTTTCAAATTACTTTTAGTTGACGAATTACATCAAATTGGTAAAATCTCTTCTTAACCATAAAAGTGTCTCGTATCATTTGCTCATTGTTTTCCATTTCTCTTTAAAATTTATAAGTATGTCGTATAGTATATTAAATGTACATGTTTTCCATTTCATTTTCCGTTATTCATTTCATCTATAATCTCTGAAATAAAAAAGGGATTTTAACTTATTGGTGGTATTGAAATGGTATTTCAATAGTCAAAAATTAAATTCACTTAATATTAAACATGGGGGACTACAAATGTTAAAAAGAAACTTCAATATTATCGAAAAAAGTAATATTTTTTTTAAAAACAAGGTTAAAACATTTTTTTTAATAGAAAATCGATACCACAGAGTTTCTAAGGTATGTGATAACAAAGACATAAATAACATTATCGACTGATGGTAAATTGCAGGAAAATGATATATAAAAAAATTACCTATAGTAAATAGAAAGAATTTTTTTAAATTTGAATTTGTTTTACCATCAGTCGGTAATGTAGATTTCTCTATCGGTAATTTTTATATGTTCATTTTCCTGTTTTACCATCAGTCGGTAATGTAGACTTCTATGTCGGCAATTTTTTATATTTACAATTTCCTGTTCTACCATCAATCGGTATTGTAATTTCTGTGTTGGTAATTTTTATATGTTCATTTTTCTGTTTTAACATCAGTCGGTAATGTAGACTTCTATGTCGGTAATTTTTTATATTTTCATTTTCCTGTTCTACCATCAGTCGGTATTGTAATTTCTGTGTTGGTAATTTTTAAATGTTCCTTTTTCCTGTTTTATCATCAGTCGGTTATGTAGACTTCTATGTCGGTAATTTTTTATATATTAATTTTCCTGTTTTATCATCAGTAGATAATATAAATTTATGTGTCGGTAATGTTTTATATTTTCATTTTCCTGTTTTATCATCAGTCGGTAATGTAGATTTCTATGTCGGTAATTTTTTTATATATTAATTTTCCTGTTTTATCATCAGTCGGTAATGTAGATTTCTATGTCGGTAATTTTTTTATATATTAATTTTTCTGTTTTATCATCAGTCATTAATGTTGATTTCTTTGTTGGTACCAAGGAGAAAAATGGATAAACGAATAAAGTAACTTTTACAACTTTAAAAGTAAGACCTGAACTGGCAGCAGTTTCTGCGCATTTCAGACAATTTTCATTCCAGAAATAGTAGAATTTACTATATCCAGAATAATTTTTACTATTTTCAGGAGTAAATTTTACTATTTCTGAAGTAAAAATTGATAGAAATGCGCTAAAACTGTGTACAGTTTAGGTTTTCCTTTAAAGTATAGTTAAAAGTTACTTTATTCGTTTTTGCATTTTTCTCCGTGTATAGGTGAATAGTAAAACTAAAATTGCCATACCTTTTATTCAAAGAAGCTTTCGATGTGTGCACAATTTTGGTAATTCTTAATCTTTTTTTTAGTATTCCAAGAATAAAAACGATGGTAGAAAGAGAATATCCAATAATAAGTACAGTAATTAAAATAGGTAAGAGTTCTTCTTTTGTTATTAGTCTCGGCGAAGTATTACTGTTGCGTGGATGTAGAAAAGGTCGATTGAAATCTTCAAGTAATCCAAATTCTTTGACTCTTTTAAATAGTTTAGCGTAATAATTAAGACATTTTTCATGATAGATTGAGAAATAAGAAAAATAATATATCACAGTCTCATCAAGTATTTTAAATTTTGATTCTCTAATTTTAGCTTCATATTTGTTCACATGATATTCAGCATTAGCAATAATACAGGTTATGTTCTGATAGTCAGCCAAGTATTTCAAGCAATATTCTTCATCATGCCCTTTTAATATCAAATATTTTTTTATGAATTGTTGAACATCAGAAATTGAACTGTCAAGTAATGCATTATAGACATCGTTTTTCATCATTGGTGTCAAGTGCGATTTAGTAAGTTCTGCAAGTGAAGAAATTTCAACAGCTGGGTGAAAATTGATTAAAGTTTGATTAAAAAATACCAAATAAATATAGCCTGTGTAGACAATGCATGCTATCATTAGTGGAACAAAAACTACCCTTTTTGACCAATTTTCAGATTCTTGCGTGTCAGATATTCTCATTATAATTTTACTAATGCTAAACTTCAGCAAATATCCCGTAAGTCGTATAACAACAATTGTACCAATTGTTTTCAAAATTATGTACCAAAATTCTAATGAAGCTTCAATATCTTTAGAGAGTTTTAACGCTTTTGGAATAACAGCTTTAACACTATTAATGTTTATAATTTCATAATCATTATCAGGAGATGAAATGCCATAACTGAAACCGAAATACAGTTCCAAATTTCCGAATGTTACACTTTTATAGATTTCATCCTCAGATGTAGATTTCATCCTCGATTTCATCAGACGTAACATAACTTCTAATATTTCTTTTTCTTCTTTGATAATACATATATCAGTAGGAAAATTAAGATTAAAGGAAAATGTTTCTTCATTTAGATTCATCAATTTATCTGGAAACCATTCACTTTCAGATGATATCAACTGACTAGAGTAATTGTTTTTGAAATGATAATGTGTTTTACTTAGAACTGGTAATTTTTCAAAATTTGGTGTTAATGTTATTTTGAGTTCATTATCTAATGTCAAAAAAATAATGCCAAACAATTGTCTGCGTAAATAATAAGTTTCCAAGAAATCGATAATCCCGCTATGAGTTGAGTTATTAGAATTTACAACTAAATATCTTGGATTTAAGAAGCCATCAATTAATTCAAGTATAAAGTCTTGCAATTTAAATGCAGTACTATCATCTATCCATTGTATAACAAATAGTGTAATTCTTCCAGGAAAGTTAATTACTTTGTCAAATTCTTCAAAATTTATTCCCCTATCGTAGGTAACGATGAATGATGAAAAATGTGAATTGACTGCAGTTATCACAGAATTCATAATTGGATCTGTATAGTTTTTGTAATCATCAAGAACAAAAACTACTTGATGAACTTTAGATTCTTTCTTTAGATATTTTATCAATCCATCAAGGTAATTTTTTGTTGGAGGTATTCCTTGGATTTCTTTCCAGAATATGTAACTAAGAATAAATAAATTTATAAATTTCATTGTGCACAACTAACTTGTTTAAATGACACAATCAGACTGTTAAAAAACTGTGCGGCAAAGCAACCTTTTTAGGAAATAAGGCAATCTATAAAAAAAACATAAAGTAATTGATATTCCCTGGCGGATTCGATTTGCGTAATGTCTACTTAACTAAGCGGACTTTAGGTAGACATTAGGTAGACATGTAAAAAAACGTATAAAAAAGCTATTAATCGACTTATTATGATAAAAAAAAGTTGATAAAAGGGTAAATGAATGTTTATAGAGTAAATTCGTATAAAATTTGTAATTAATAAAGCAATAAATAATTAATAATGAATGGAAATGTGCGCGAGGTACCTGATCAGTTCAGCTGTACAATTATTTTCGTGCTATTTTCATGAAAAGAATATAAATTAACTGCAAAAACAATTGATATTTATAAAAAAGTGTAAAATTGATTTAATTTTATTGTTTGCAATACGAATTATTAAATAATAATTAAGTTTTTATCAAATGTGAATAGTGTTGTGAAAACCTGTGAAAACTAATGAGTTACTAAATTACCGATCGCATATGAGAGATGGCGCCACCAGTTTTTACAATACAGTGCGAGCATGTTTTCTTCCAAGCTTTTGCTTTGAAAGAAAATAAAAAGTGAATTTTAAAATGCAGAATAAAGTTATACAAATAATTATTGATTTCATAATTGTTTCTCGTCCAAAATTACGGACATGATTGCATTTTTTTTTGTTACACTCATCGAGAACTTTTTATTATCATATGCGATCGGTAATGTAGTAACTCATTAGTTTTCACAGGTTTTAACAACACTATTCACATTTGATAAAAACTTAATTATTATTTAATAATTCGTATTGCAAACAATAAAATTAAATCAATTTTACACTTTTTTATAAATATCAATTGTTTTTGCAGTTAATTTATATTCTTTTCATGAAAATAGCACGAAAATAATTGTACAGCTGAACTGATCAGGTACCTCGCGCACATTTCCATTCATTATTAATTATTTATTGCTTTATTAATTACAAATTTTATACGAATTTACTCTATAAACATTCATTTACCCTTTTATCAACTTTTTTTTATCATAATAAGTCGATTAATAGCTTTTTTTATACGTTTTTTTACATGTCTACCTAATGTCTACCTAAAGTCCGCTTAGTTAAGTAGACATTACGCAAATCGAATCCGCCAGGGTTGTGATCAATATAAGTTAATGTCAAAAGTTATATATGTTAATGCCAGAAGATATATATATATATAAACTGAAATAATCGAACCATATGTTATATGTATTTTTGACTTCATCAAATATAATCCATTATATTTCAATTTCTTAATGTTTAATATTTATATTTGCCTTATTTTATAAAAATGTATAGTATACAAATAAATTGCTTTTAAGATATAGATTTTTTTTAACAGACAGTATCCACTATTTGAACACGGAGGTTGTGCAATATGAAGTTTGTAAATATATTTATTGTTAGTTACATTTTTTGTCAAGGAATTCAAGGAATATATTTGAAAAATAATTCTTTCGATGGATTAATAAAATATCTCAAGCAAGAGTCAAAATTGTATCAGGTAGTTTTTGTTATTGATGATGATGAAAAAAAAATAGATCCACTTATGAATTCTCTTATGACAGAAGTCTATTCACATTTTCCATCTTTGAGTATTAGCTACAGTAAATCTGGTTGGTTCAAAAATTATAAATTATCAGACACACTATTCAGAATATTTCCATCACTCAGAAGTA